ATTGTTATATGGGATGAAAAAGATCAAGGTGGTTATATGATTGATAATAATGGAGCATGGGCTAAAATAGAAGGACGTCAATGGTTTGGTAGTCATATATTTAAAAATTGTAGCAAAACACCACTTGCTAAAAGGTTATTTATCTTTAATTTGATTCATTATTTCTTTTAGTCATCAATTAACATAACATGATGATTCATAGAGAATAAATATAATTTCTTTACTTATAAGTGATACAATCGATGACCTATGTCCGTTAATACATATCGTTTTGTAAATAAAAACGACGTGCTGTTTGACAAAGAGTATTAGTTTACGTTCAAAAGTGATGAATAAGAAGTCACTAAGATCTTATATTTAAATATAATCATAGTTGAATTATGTATTGTTGATAAAAGTTACGATGAAAATCTCTTAACTAATTAATCACTTTCGACTTGGAACTATGCACATCATATAGATCCTATTAAAATATTTCTCGAATTTTGACTTGTTAGATGGTGGAAAAAAGTTTAACGACAACGTAGTTTTTTGCATTTTTTTCAATAGTATTAAACAAATAGTCCAAATCTAGATACTGATTTTAATAGCCAATGAAATTTTCTTATATCAAAAATTCATAGATGAAATATAATAGTAGGGTATCTAAAAAAATGAAGACCCTAGTTTTCGGGTCCGATTTTAAAGAGTGCAAAATTCTGTACACAATGAAGAGTTACTGCATTAGCTACAATCCTCTCTTAAAAAGTTATATTTGATAAATTTCGTTTTGTAATGGTTATAAACTTGTAAGGGAAAAATTATGCTTGTGCTGGTCATTCTGATCTTACTTCTTTTTTTTTAATAGTTTTCGATCACGCTTTCGTTTTATGCGTCATTTGGATAAAAAAACTAATCATCATCATCATCATCATCATCAAGCACCAATAACACCCAAAACACATCAAATGCAACAACAAGCATTTAAATTTCCTCTTCTTATGGATAGTTCGTATTTCTAAAATCCTCCCCTCCCCCCTAAAAACAAAGAAAATATGATGAATTATTTTATATTTAGCTGCTACTCTTTCACCAGTACCTGAAGCAGATGATTATGAATCATCAGAATTAAGTTTATCTGATATTATTATTCGAAGTTCAGCAACAACACTTAATAGTTCAAATAGACGACAACAACCGCAACAACCATTAATGAAATCTGAACGTAAGCACGATTTATCACTACAAGGTCAACAACAGCAAGTAAATGATAATCTCTATTGATATTAAATTCTATTTAAATTATTTTGAATTTTAGACAGCAAAAACTATTCAAGCATTAATTCATACTGAACAAAAACAAAATGATGATTATTATAAACGAATTGGAAATAATGGTGATGATTCAAATTATATTGGAATGTCAGGAAATACTATGAGAGATTCATCTATAACTGATCAAGAAACCGATCGAAGTTTAGGCAATGAAATTGATGCTGGTGGACCAGTTCTTGTTAGTGTACCAACTATGATAAGACGAGATGATGATGCTGGTACAATAACAGATGGTGCAGATTCAATTTATAATCCACATTATTCAATTCAATCTGTTAATGAAGTAAAAAAGATGAAAATCAATTAAATCAAATATTTATATATTTTTTCTTTTTCTTAGTATCCTCATCGAAATTTTGTTTCACCAAATACAAATACAGGTCCATTTTTAACAAAACCATCTATTAGTACATTTAAACCAACAACAAATAATCCAGTTATAGTTGGTTATTGTCAAACTGAATTTCAATCACTTGATCCAAAATTATTATTTAAACCAATGGATAAGGCATCATTAGTTGAACATCAACCATTTTATCGTTGTTCACAATCAGTACAATTATCAACATATGATTCAGGTTTTGTTGATGAACAAACAGTTGGAAGTTTAACAGGTGTTAATGATATAAATGAATTAGAAAATAATTTAATAAAGAAAGAAAAAGATGAACATATGAGTATGGATGATATTTTATTAACAAAAAGTGAAGATGATGATGATGATGATGATGATTTACAATTAAATGGTTTAATAATAAATGAATTAAGAAATTCACATCAACAAAAATGGAAAAATGTTTCGAAACGTGTTTCATTTCAAGGTTAGATATTGATCTAGTTTATTGAATAACTGAGAAAAGCAGCTTGCCAATACGACTTCTCTAGAGTTAATATGTTGAATTCATGTACTTTTTAGCCTTATTATACTAATACAAAATACGTTAAACCTTTGTATGTCAAAACTCTCTTAATAATAATGATTATTTCTCATTCTAAAGGTACTGAGAATATGAGTTATGGATCACTAACACTGCCAGTTTTTAATCACTTTAGTTAGAGAAAACAAACAAGCCCTAATATATACAAGACGATTTGTTTTCTGAAAAACCAATTTTTATAGAAACAAAAGTACAGAATCGCTTTCCTTGTTTCTCGATATTTCCTAGAAGGAATTATTTGAGGAATTTCGAATATAAATGTATTGTAGCTATTCAAATTTCAAGTAGAGCTTTAGAAACTTTTAAAATAAATTAAGTCTTGTTGTTAAGAAACTATGAGAAAGAAGTCTAACGGCTGTTGTCCTTGGCTATTATGCACACATACTTGATGACCGTTGATCTTCCTCTGGTTATTAAGAGGAAGCACCGCAACAATATAATCTTCGTAATAGATTAGTAGCTTCATACTCAGATTTTGAGACATATAACATGTAGCTTGAAAACAAAAAATTATTACTAGTTCTACAAAACATATTACAAAGAAACTTCATGTTTCAAAGAGTAATTCATCACTGAACTTGATTAATCCAACCTATAGTTAACATATAAGGAAGTATCACTTTTTCTTACACTTTTACTTGATATTTATTCAAAAGATAAACTTAATTTTTCTTTTCATTTCATTCTATAGAGGAACATGTTACTCAACGTTTTTCTCCACCACCACTACCACCACCTCCACCATCATTATTTAATACAACAACAAATCCAGAAACATCATCAAGTCCATTTGATACTTATGATGTTTCACCTGATGTAAATCAATTAGTACCAGTTGCACCACCACTACTTAAATCGTTCTTACTTCCATCAACAACAACTACTTTAAATGATAGTTCACCAACAACAAGTAGTGTATTTACTGTTCAAAAACAAATAACATCTATTGATAATGAAGATAATACAGAAAGTATAATAATGAATCATTTACATTCTGTTAAATCATTAAAAAAATTTTTCGAAACAAAAATGGTTATACAACGACCAATATCTACTGTGCAAACAATAACTTGTTCTCAAGCAATAACAACAATTAATGAACAAAAACTAGATCGATCATCAATAGCTAAAGAACAAAAATCAACAGATGAATCTAATCAACGACAAGAAATGATGAATAAAGTATTGGAAAGTTTAAAAAAGAAAAAAATTTATTCAAGAACAACAAATGGTAAGATTATTTGAAGTTTATTCTATAATAGAATATTTTATGACCTATAACATACATATTCATATTAATATTTTAAACTAAATGTCTAAATTTTATAAAGTTCAAAACCTATTTCAGTATAGTCTATCATGAAGTTCTCGAATTTTTTTTTTTCCTCATATGATTAGAAAGATATTCGTTAATTTGATTTTTAATTAAAAATCAATTATGTTTAGATACTCCTGAACTTGATGGTCGATGTTCAGCAATGACAACATCATCATATGATTCAAATCTAACACAAAATTTAGCTGTACAACGTCATTATTCTCGACGTTTTCGTTCATCTTCAACAAGTAATAATTCTCTTTATCCTGGTGGTAATATAATAATACATATAAATCCAACGAATTCTCATCATAATAAACGTGCTTATTCACAAGATCGTCAACATTATCAAACAACAGATCATCATCTGAGTAATATTGAAAAATGGAAACAAGAACAACAACGACAAATCGAATCTGATGATGATGATAATGTATCAGAAAATTCTATGTTATGGCAAGCACGTACAAAATTAAATGAATTTGTAAGTCGTACAAGAAAAAATCAACAACAATCATCATATTATACATGTACTAATGGTGGAATACCATCTGAAGAGTTATATATTTATGATGATAATGAAAGTGTTACAGCAGAAACACGTTTTTAAAATCATACTTGACATGTATTTTTTTTTTTGCGCCTTTGTTTTAATCTTTTTTTTTTTTTCTTCTTGTTTATATTTGACCAAAAAAAAAGCAATAACAATAATAATAATAATAATCGACAATTTAAATTTGTTCATTTGTTTTATTTCATATTCTGACTTGTTTTTTTTTTCTTTTGTTGATTTACAATACAATCTTAAGAAATGATCTATAGAAAACGAAATGATTAATTTATATTGCGTAGCAAAACGAAAATTGATATTTGACTTTGATGTCAAAAATGATTTATTGCATATTATGTTTAGTAAAACCATAACAAAATGGTAAGAAAAAATACACTTGCATGTTGTTGACATGATAAATAAAATTGACAATCCGTAACAATATCATAATGAGTCTCGAATAGTTTATTCATTGACCAATAATGCATTGCTATATAATCATAAGTTCAAACCAGGTCATATTATTATTTGATGCTTTTGACACGTTTTTTTCTTTTGAGAAAAGAATATCACATTTTATAATTTTTTTTTAATCAATGTATTACATATACTACTATTCGACGGAATAAACTTCAATAGGTTTCAACTACTTGATTCAAAGAATTGAATTTTTTTATTTCAAAATGATTCTTTCTCATGATTAATTATTTTCATTGTCAAAATTTCATTTCAACTCTTTTAAAATTAAAATCAAAGAAAATCTAATTATTATTTCATATGAATCATTAAGTGGCACTTGAATTGTTACTTTTCTATTACTAAGAGATCTTTATTTCACTTCATAGAATACATATACATATATATATCGACATTATGACAGTCAAGCACATGACCAAACAAGACGTTTTGATGATATGCCACTATCTTTAATTACAGTTTTTAATTCTTGATCAATTACCGATTGTTTAAGACCTGATTTGAGTCGATGTTCACATAGATAAAGAAGAATATTCGATGGTATCCATACAGGTTGACCAATTTGAAAATCATGCATTTTAAGAATAGCTAATGCTTCAAGAAGTGTTTCATCATCAAATCCATTGGATTCATCCAATTGAAAATGTAGTTGACAAAGTGATACTGATGTTTCCTGATCGTCAATCTTGTTGACAATAGCTAAAATTTAGAAAAACAAAAAATAAAACAAATTCTTTATAATTTAGTTCGATAGATAATCTTAATAGTTTTCTTTAGATGAATTCTTTCTTTTGCGATGTACACAAACAAAGAAACATACACATGCGCAAAGTTTTACACTCTGTCAATTTTAGCTAAGATGTTTCTTTTTTTTATGATTTTGTTAATGGCTCTTAAACACTTACAGACAAATTAATGTTCTTTCAGATCAAAATCAACTAAAACATCAATGTTAACTTTTAACAGGAGAATAAGACGAATAACAAAAGTAAAAAAAGATTGCCAAAAAAAAAGTCAATTTAGCGGATACTTACTACTTCTTCCTAAATAAAACCCAAGAAGAATCACCGCCACAGTGGCACTTATTAGCCAGTTCGATGGTTGTTGCATTTTATGCGTCTCCAATTTTTCTGTAGTATCGTCGGGATGTAATTAAAACTATGTTGTCGTTTAGTTTTACCTACGAACGTCTAGTCTTGTGAATAAATAATTTTTTCTTCGTTGTTCTTTTTCACTCCTGTTTTTTATATGATATTCTCTATTCGTTGTTTCATTGCTCGATTTTATCGTATGTATTCATGTAATGTTAATGACTGTTTTTTTTAAGTAACAATCAAGATACCTATTTTTTTCTTTACATATTATCATTAATAGACAAAACGATGATAAAAAATCAATTTGACATTAACAAGAGACTTTTTATGCATGACTAAACATCATATTTCTTGTTGTAACTTTACAAATTTATTTTAGCATCTTATATTATGAAAAATTATTTATCACATGACTATTGAAATAATATATGACGAGTTTCTCATAGACAACATGAAATATTAATTGTAGTATCGATTAGTTAGTTGCTACATAATCTTTTTCATTATCTGTTGCTGTAAATTAATTAATTTTGTATTTAAGAATAAAATTTAACATTAAAAGCCTTGGCATTAGTATATACAGTATAGTCATTGATATAAACTTGAAATGAAGGCCTGTCTAAGAATAAACATGAAAATTTGTCTGTAAAACAATTACGATACCTGATGGCAAGCAAACGAATCTTTCAGGATGGATTTTTTCATAATTGTGCATTTCACACTCACTTTTAGTGATGAATCAGGAGAGACGCTAAGACTAAACAAGCGATTCGAAACGAAACCATAGTGGAAACCATCAAGGAAAAAAACATTATTACTTTTTCATACTGCTAATTTATATAAAAGCATACAAGTAAAAATTGATTCGACCATAATTGCGCAATTTCATTGTCCTTGACAACAGGTCACAGCTGTGAAAAACAATATTATTGTTTTACTAAAAGGATTCGTTTTGTTTCTTAATGAAAATTCATTTAGAGATGATGATGAACATGTATTATGTTGATGAAAACAGCATTCATATACAGTGGATATGAAAATTGATCAACCACCTCAGTGAATTTTTTTTGTTTTGTTCATATCTCAAAAACTAAATAAACTACTTAGAGGTACCCAAAAGTAGTGGCGGTCGCATCTCAATTTCGTATAGAAGACTTGATGAAATTTTCTGTTTTTATGAGACGATAGAGAAAATGAAGCTCTATTTTTCTGTGCTATTTCATCCCGATTCAGCTGGTATCATAATAATGAAATTTCGATAATAACTGTTTTTTGTGTAAAACTTCACTAACGCGTGAGGCAGATTAATACGCTTTCCATTTCAATTTTCAATCACTTAATACGTTGTATTAAGAAACAAAATACATCACAAGATACGGCATGAAAAGCTCTACAATTTGTAAAGAACAGTTTATTTTATATATGATATAAGAAAAAAAGAATTTCTCTTGACATGATTGTTTCGGAACAGCGAAAACTGGTCGCATAGAATTTTGTTTCTTTTTGACAAAAAGTACACAATTAAAATAAGCTTTACTTTGNATTTAGAGCAGATCAGTGATGAAGTTAATGTTATCATCGAAAGTAATGAATTGGAAGTCATTAATTCTCGACCAGACACCAATACAAATGATATCGGTTATTATTTATCAAATAAACTGCCAATTGATGATCATTTAAAATATTCGCTATTAACAAATCATTTCAAACCTGATAGAAAATATCCATTTCCAATGGTATATTCGGATGATCATGGGTGTGGGTGTGGGTGTGGGTGGGTGTTGATCTTCTTACCCTAAATCTACACCTACACACCCACACCCCACACCCACACCCACACCCTAATGCATGCCTGATGTCTTTGCTCAAACACAGAAGTTTGTTCCGCGACTAAAAATTGTCTATAACGTTGATTGCATTATGATTCTGCTAGATTTCTTCTGAAAATGCAACTATGACAAACAAGAGAACCCAACGCAAAATGACATTAACAACGAAAAAACAAACGAAACAAAAACGCACACTAATGTATTTTTATTATTGTTACCATCGCTTTTTTTTATTCCATTCGTGTCTGCATGGTGAATGATAATAAGAAGGTAGCAAGTGTAAACAAAAGAATGCTGACAAAAATTCAAGGTGCACCTTTCCTTTTTTCGATATGCCCGTATCCTATCAAGAGTTTTTTGTCACTATCTGTCTCTATACTTCTATCAAGTTGAGAATACATCCACACAATGTTGCTAAAATCTATATATAATAGTATGATTAGGATTATATTCAAAATATCGTCAAAATCGAACGATTGCTCGGGAATATGTTCTTTAGAGCTTTCATTTTTTTTGTTCGGCAAGAAAATTTAAAAATTTCTCATCATGTAAACAAAGGTTTTTCGGTAGCTTTCTTGGTTCTGACAATGTTTATATTGAAAAATGACGACAACGATGATGAAGTAAAAATTGATACGAACAAAGAGAAAGATATTTTCGAAACTTGAACTGCAGATAGAGAGGATTTGACAACTTCAGCATTTATTTCCAGTTGGTGACTGCATTGACAGCAATGCAATTGATCTATTCACATCTCCAGATGTACATGATAAATGGAACATTCTCTACTATAGCAAGTGAAAGTACCACAAAACATCATTCCTGAATGAGACGTGGTCGTTCTTCATATACTAGTGGATCTTTGAAAGCTCTGGAAATTATCCTAGACAGAAATTTCACTGAGGAGGTTAGGTATTTCATGAAGCCAATACACAAGACAGATTATTACTGCAGTTTGGTATATGTCACAAGTAGTCTAGTCGGTACTACTAGTGGCAGTTTTAACCAATGAAACTATATTCCAGGGTGTTATTTCATGACATCAGCATTGAATAGATCTGTAAGCTGATCATTAATTCCTTCTACTCTCGTACATCAGAAGAAAAAACATGATCTCTTTTCAATGCGTTCTAGATGTTGACGAAGAAAACGAGTAGAATTCTCGTGGAACAGCACAATTTTGTTGAGAGATACAGTTAAGAAAGTAAATCTACCAATATTGAGAAGCTCACACACACACCACTCTATATATCTTATTTGTATCAGTTCAAACAATGACATTGAGCGAATTATTTTATTTTTCAGCCTCTTTCATTTTTATTCCTTATTTTATCGTTTACATCAACATAGATAACAATAAAATATCGATTCAAGATGGTATACCTAGCATCCCTTTGTATTCTATGCTTTGTCGATCGTATTTAATCTATTTTAGTTTAGTCTAACCTATTAATCTTCAATGGCTTAGTAGTCTTTTAGTGCAAGTTCAAAACTTGTACGACACCTTATATGGTTAATTTTGCCTTTTTATTTATGATAGCTGTATATAATGGGTGTGGATTATGGTATGAAAAGAAAATTCTATGCTGAAACTTTCAGTCCTTGCCTTCTTGAAGTAAAGAAAAAGTTTCGAAATAAAGTGAAAAAAATCCCATTTTCTTATGCTTATGTGTCACTGAGATCTCCGTCCAACCACCTAATGAGTATGAACTTTTTTAGGGTCTTCTTAGTCTCACTGTACCCTACTCACAGCCAAAAGATGGGATCAAATGACGTTCGACACAAGAAATCATTCATCTATTCACTGTATTGTATCTTCTATTTATTGTCTTTCTTAGCATAGAAATATTTATGAGAAAATTTTGATGGAAACTCCAAAACAATAACAAAGCGATGTCTATTTAATTGATGTATCATGTTTTTTTTTATTCAATTTTTCTTCAAAACCATCGAGCATCTTAATCAGAAACCTCGAGTGGACGAAATTCACCTTTGACGATATATCAAATTATTTTAAGAAGTAACTTGTCGTCCTGGAACACTATAAATTTTAGTAAGGATGATACTTTATCTTTAGCTAACTTTGAAGAAATTAAAATGAAATGCTATCCCCATGTTTCAACGAGTACGTAGTCCATATATGACCTTCCTTCTGGACATTTTACCTTCAAACTCGCGAAATCGTTTGTAATTTTTATCCAAATGTGTTAACCATTTTTCAAAAGCATCTAAATTGTTCATCAAAGAGTTTTATTTTCATTGAAATTATGAATACTTTGTGATTGATCGAAATCAGATGAGTATTCATCATAAGAAGATTCAATTAATGATGTCTACTTTTTTAACTCAAGAAAATATAAAACTTTTTCAGCTCTATTTAAAGATTTATTCATGACATGAATGACTTAATTCCTCATTAAAGGAAGATTGATGAATCAAACAGTATGAAGTACCATATTAGGAAATATCTCAATATACAATCATGGTAGATAGGAATTGACAGTTCTGCTGATAAAATTAGCATAGAATATAGACTTAGGTCTTCTTGGTGAATTGTGAACAGCAAAGTAAGCTTATAGGTTTTGAGTTGATATGTCGAACTCATTGTTATTTTTGACTCATTCAGTAGAGAAAGAAAAACAAGAATCAATAATGGAAGCAACAGAAAGTATATGTAGAACGGGTTAGTGAAGATGATTATATATTCGAAATCTTACGTGATATATCATGGTATTTATAAATAGTGTTCAGTGATTGCATAACAGTCTAGACAAACTACGGTAGGTCTCATTAGATTACAAAAGACTCCATAAAACTTTCATGGATATAGAGTTGGTAGTTTCGCTCTTGTTCACAGTGCTAAATGAATGTTTTCGATTCGACACTATGGCTCAAAAAGTTACGATAGCTATTGAAAATTTATAGACAATTGTATAAGCTTGGAACAGTCATATTTTATCAAGCAACTGTTCAAATGGTTCATACATTATGAAAAGATCTATTCAAAAACATCACTTCTGAAAGGAGCATTGTTAGATTACAACAGTTTCTATCGAAAGCCCTTTTTTCAATATATGAGCAGCTACACAATGGTGATGTATATTGGTCCAATTATTTTCACAAAACAAATTCATTATAATTCTTCAATCATCAAACCGTTGAATTAAATATAGTTACAAGTTTGTCGTCTAGTCAAACTATAATAGACGATAATGTAATGTCACCATGAGTCATAATAAACGTGACAAGATTTGAGAGCAAATGTTGTCAGTAAAGTAACAGAAACTTATTCGATTCGTACGTCGCTGTTGTTCTCTTTCTTCCAAGAGCAATAATATTTTAGCAATGTGCATGCTGTAATGTAGTTCTCTTCTACTTGGATGACTAGAATTTACTCATAATTATTTGAAAGAAGTGAAAAAGAAAACAGAAGTGTGCAGGTTTATTCCAACTAAAAATCACGGTAGTTTTTCGTTTCTGTTTAACTTTATATAACAAATACACACATATGCCATTTGTATTCTTATAAAACAGGTAAGTAAAGGAATGATTTCTTGAGCGACAAGTAGTGGTGTCTATAGATTTCCATAGTCTGCGTAGACAAAATGTTTAACTTTAAATTGAGGAATTTCAGATACTATTAAGCTTGTTAATTCAGTAGTCAGTCCATATAATATCGAAAAAATATGAAAAATTTGAAAAATAAATCTATCGATGAAATATCGAAGACATGGATAGAAAGGAATTTGAAATAAAAAAACTCACAAACAGCAAATATTATTCGTAATAGAAACTATGAAAAGTTGTTCAGTTTAACTGTTGAAATTACTATCTAATTGAAATGTTTAAAGAAAAATTACGCTTCAGTTAAAATCTTGAATCTATATTTGAATGACTGAGAACGTTCATTAGTTCAATTACAAATAATAATTATTTCTATTGCATAGACTCGACTTAATAATGACAACAACACTTGTTTGTCCAGTTTGCCAAAAGAATAATACATGGAATAATAATCAATATAAGCAAGGTTTATTTTTCAAATGTGCCTCGTGTTCAACTCGACTGCAACAAATATTTTGTCCTCATTGTTCCTCGTCTAATATTTGGTCAAATCCTAAGACATCAGTTGAAGGAGGATCAATTAATTGCGCAAAATGCTCAAAATCTTTTCAATTCATATGTTGCCCACATTGTCAAGCGCTAAATATGTGGTTGGCTGCAAATTACGAGCAAGGTCTAGTATGCAATTGTGTTACATGTAAGCGACCTTTTCAACATGTTTCCTGCGCACACTGTTATGAGGCGAATGTTTATCCGACGGCAGCATCTATCCAAGGAATACAACTCAAATGCCGCTCATGTGCTAAGACGCATCAGTACATTCGATGCCCTCATTGTCATAAAGGTCAAGTATGGAAAAATTGCAATTATATTGCAGGTAGTGCAGTTCCATGTTGGTCATGCAAACAGAGTTTTGCATATATGCGTTGCCCTCACTGTGAAAAACCTAATTTCTGGACAACTCCATTAAATGCTACACTTTCACTCATATGCTTTAAATGTAAAAGAGATATGAATGCTACGAAGATCCAAAGAAGTCTAACCCAATTGAGTCTTGATCAGCCAAGAGGACGGCGATCATCACTTGCTCGAGCTGCTAATGATGGAATAGTAGGTCACCATATTAGAGCCGTATCTGCTGATCCAAGAAAGGTTATTTCCTGTCCTTATTTCACTGAATGCAAAGAATATGTCAAAAAACTCGCTTGGTCTATTTCATTCTTTAATAAGAAACATGATCGGTGCTATTGTCAATCGTGCTATTCGCATAATCTGCCCAATACATTACGAGTAGCAGAAGCAGAGTACGTAGTACCTCGAGGCTGGGCTGGTTTTGGACTTGGTGTGGATCCATTTCGTGATGACGATCTATGGAATACATGGATTGTTGTCTATCATGGTACATCGAAGCTTGCAGCGCAGTCGATACTGACTCATCGTCAGTTTCTCTTACCTGGTGATCATTTGCTTGATGGATCAGAATTAGCTATTCGACCTGGACATATTCCTGGCAAAGTATATATTTATACATCTCCATCAATCCGCTATGCAAGTCTTCAGGTTTACAGTTCATTAAATTCATTTCAATCATCAAAAACAGGTAAACATTACAATGTACAAATAGTACTTCAATGCAAACAAAAGCCTGGTACATTTTGTGTTCAAGACGAAACAGTCGGATGGGGTGATAAACGTATCTGTAATATTGTCCCAAATGAATCTATAGAACATTTTACGAATCGACGTTCATCCGTTATACCCTATCGTCTACTCATTCGTCTCAAAGATGCATCATGATAAATAAAACCTAAAGCCATGGCAATTTGGCGCCACTATTGATAAATGTGAACAAAACAAGTGTCACTTTTGATAATTCTAGTAGATTTTTTTTTGCCTATTTTTTTGTCAGAATACAGCATGTACTTCTTGTCAATACTGTTCGAACTAAATCATATCTCATTTTTCTAATGGAAGCAATGAAGTTTGTTCTGAAATTCAAATACAGATCGAATAAATGCTAGCGTCATATAATTATTCATTATATACAATGCACCTGAAAATGATACGAATCAATAGATGTCTTCATATGGTATAATCGTTTCTTCGACTTGAAGACTGGTAGTCGAATATAGAAGTGCAACAGTATACATACTTGTTAGAATAACGTTTTGAAATAAATTACTCTTTATTCTTTTTTTTTCCGAAGTTTCTTTCAAGAATAGGAGTTTCTGATATTAAAGTATGCATAAGGTTTTTAAAAAGATGACTGTACGAGAGTAAGTTAAATTATCAAGATATCATATATATGCATATAAACATATGACTAATTTGTTGATTCATATATTACAGTCAAAATTTCACTTTGAAAAATACATCATGTGAAACTGTTACAATTGATTAATGTATTGATTTGTAAATCAAAACTTTTTCGTTTTTTTCTTGTTTTCTATCATTGATCTAAACATATACACTTTGAATTCTTTTGATATCGCTATAGATCTCGAAAAGAACGAATTACAAGATTTTATTTTTAGCGTATGATCAACTTAGAAACCTGTGCCGAGATGCATGAGACATTACTCGACTTCAGTTTGAGATAACTGATCGAGCATCTGGTGAGTTGTGGTAGCTTTCACATAATTTTCAGCGTGTTGACTTTTTTTATTGACAGGACAAACGATATAAGGATACCAAAAAATTACTTCAAAAATATCCGGTGTATGTAAAAATACTTTCAACTCGATCGAATATAATTTTGATCTAGTGTGAGCACAATATCTCATAGAAGACAACATCGAAGAGCTTTGAGTCTAGTACAATTAAAGGATTTGTCTTCATATGAACTTCTTTTCTAGAAAATAAAAATCGTCTGATATTCTTTAATCAAAAATGAAATTGAAAATAATTCAAAACTTATAGAAATATTTTACGTCGAGATATTATGTTTAAAATTTTTCGAAGTAAATCTATGCACTTGAAAAAATTAAATATATTTTTCTTTTTTTGTAAACACATGGCTTTATAAATCTTTACATGAAAAAAGTTCAAAGCAGAAAACAAATCATATTTGGTTAAAAGATACATCAATCCAAATAGATATTATGGCACAGACAAAAAATTTACGTATAAAATCAAATGTCAAAAGAGCTTCTGTCAAGTTTTTTCAATAATATAATTATAATTTTATTCATATATATATATATATATATTATTTATTCTTGACGATGTAAATTTAGACTCGTAGGAGAAAACCTATGAGCATTAGAATTGGTAGCTATTGTTAATTTGCTGTCATTTAAAAAAGATTGACCAAATTGACCGATAGCATTCGTCGCATCTGATGAAGATCGATAGGCAGCAGCAGCAGCAGCAAATAAATGTGGTTGTCGTTCTATCCATCGTTGTAGTGTATTACCAGTAAATAATTCAAGACCAAGACATGCTTGTCGTTTCCATTTTGTTCTAATCATATTTACATATTAACATAGAAATATTAATTACAAAGAAATAGAAAACTAACCTTCGATTTTGATACCATGTTTTTACCTGTGTATCAGATAAACGAAGACGATTAGCAAGTTCTAAACGCTCTTGTACACTTAAATATTTTTGTCGTTCAAAACTTTTTTCTAATGTATTTAATTGAGCATCAGTAAAAGCTGTACGTGGTTTACGTTGTTTTTTATTTTGTCGTAAATTAATTGCTGTCAAACAAGAACTTGATGCACATAATTCATCATCTATTTCGAATAAAAAATAAATAACAAAAAAGTCTATTACTAACTCGTCCTTCATTGTACCGATTTTGGATGATTCCAAATTCGACCCTCTAATTGATCTTTTAATCAATATCAATGATGGTAACAGTTAAAATCGAGCGTATATTGGGAGATCTTTAGTAAACATCGATCTAATTGCTATATTCACTATTCCTGTCGCCATTTTTTCATCATGGTTAACTAGTAGGTCTTGGTGAGATTAAGACAAGCTTATCAAAAATAGAGTGTTTCGACCTGAAAATGTTCCTTATAGGCACGTTTGATAATCATCAGATAGTACCCAAAGTTTCAACGAAAACGAACATGGATTTCTCAAGATATTCGATTTCGAAGTAGATGCAATTATTGTGTCCTCAAATGATAAACTACTGATTTTTGGATATTGAATAACTCAAGAAAAGCATATTCGTTTGTCATTAAAACTTTCAAGATTCTCTAATAATTATCAAACGTATCTATAGACAAAATTTCAGATCGAAACATTTTATTTTCGGTAAGCTTGTCTTATTCTCACTGAGACTCCAACAAAATAAAGAAATTCGATTGAAAATAATTCTTTGTTTGACTTTTGTTTCATTATGTTTTGTAACTTACCACTGTTGTTATCAATATTGCTGCTATTGTCACTTAAACAAGATTCTTCTTCAGCCGTTTTACCATCTCTCGTCGTATCGACTGTTTGAGAATAATTTGATTCGTCATTGTCATCTTCCTTTTTATCATGATCATCATTATTATTTTTTTCATATTTATGAAATCGAAATTTTTTATTTGATTTTTGTTCATGTTCATCTCTATTATCATCCTCTGAATTTATTGATTGTTTACGTTTTAAATCATTATTGTCATTTGAACAATGAATAGTTTTATTCATTGGCATTACCATATGTAAGATATCATCGACAAAAAATGAACGTCGTTGTTTTGTCATTGTTACTTTTGTTTTTTTTTGGTTTGTTAATGGAAAATGAGTCGGTCAATCAAATAGAATATTTTAAAGAATAGTGAATTTACAACATAACATTGTCTTTTTTTTTCTTCTTACTCTTACTTCTTCTATTATTGTTCTTTTTTTTCTTTATTCTCTACTATGACAAGTGGGATTTCTTTCATTTGCAACGACATACAAAAGAGAAAAAAAAGAGAAAGAGCAGATAATTGACATTTTACGCACATTCTCTCCTTTTCTCCTTCATCAAACACACACACACACACATATATTCACTCGATTGGTGTAAAAAAGAAACAAAAAGATAGAACAAAACGATTGGCAGTTTAAATTTAGTAACACGAAAAATAAAAATAAAAAAACTTAAAATTCAATTTCTTTGAAAATTACGTTCTCTATTTCCGTCTTTATTCTCTACGTAATGATTGTGTGACAAAATTATATACATATATATGCATATGTATATCATCATAAATATAAATTGATTGATCAGTCAATCAATACTTGTTCTTCTTAACGCTTTTTTCTCTGTCTCTCCTCTCTGTTGTTCTCTTCATTACATATGTTTATGATATGCAAATCAGAAAAATCAACGTTACATCCCTTCTGTGTTTTTTTTCTCTTTTATTTGAAAGAAAATAATTTTCTCATCATTATCGACATCATCATGTTTCTTTACACAACGTGTATGCACAATACAGATCGGATTGACACTTTGAAGGTGCTTGTTTTAATAATCATAGTAATAATCGATCGATAGACTCGCTCGTGCTTATACAAATGTTCAATGGATGATGATCATGAGATAGACATACATTACGTTTCTATTTTTTTATTTTGTCTTTGATGATATTGATTTTGCCAATATTAAATTGATATTCATAGAACAGGTGATTGCAATCAAGGTCATAAGTCACCTGTGATTTTTTTTCTTTTAATGTCTACTGATCGCCTATATTTGTAGTTAATGTCACACATTGACTATTACGGTCGAATGATTGACCATAAGGTGTTATTTTATGTATCACCCTATTTTTCTTTTCAGTGTTTCAATCCAACTAATAAATAACTAAAGCCGACTATAACCAAAGCCTTGAGATTAATTGAATAAAGGTGTTTTAAAATATGTTGTGACAAGATCAAATATACAGTTAAATGTGTGACTGAAAGAGAACAAGAAAAACAATAACGATAAATAATTTTTCAATTGATGTGAGACATTTAAAAAAAATTAGTCTTGAAATGTCAACCTGTTATTTAACAATTTAAAATAATAGTATAAATTTTATTCAAGGGTTTCTCCCCAGGTCGTTCGATAAAATCTAACCCTTCGAATTCATTATTTTTCCGATCTAATCATCCTTCATTTTATTTTTTTAAATGTTACAGATTTTGATTTTCAATCTATTCATCAAAGAAATACAATAATGACAATACATGTCTTTTCTTTTTCTTTTGTAACTGAATAGATCCACTTTAAATTTTCTATTTATTTTTAATTTAATTCACTTCTAAGAATGTTTATTTCTTTCTCTCTCTCTCTTGCTCTTTTTGTTCTATAAATGAAGACAGACAAAATCTGTTCTTGTAAATGTGTCCTCTCTCCTATAGTGTGATCAACAATGAAAAATTAATCAATTATTTTTGTCTTTTTCTTTTTCAATTTTCAAGTTCAATGATGCATAATTTATAAAACAATGATATTCACTATAGACTTATTTTTACTTAAAACAAAAAGCAAAAAGAAAAAAAATAACAAACTAAAACATGCTGTGTATTAATTGAAATGAAGTTATACATTAAGACTGTTTGATCATGAGAAGAAAAAACAAGCAACATTAAATAGCTTATACATATATAAATTCGATTAATCATCGTTATCGAATTAAAAAAGAAACGTGTCATTGTAACAATGTGCATGAATATCGGAAGTAGTCTATCGTGAGACTCACTACACTAAGATATAAATGCGAGCTATCATCGCACCTGTCACTTTTCTTCTCTTTCTTTTTTTTTTTGTTTTTGTTTCCCAAATGACTCGTTCCAATTCAATTTATTTCACCTGAATAGATGAAACAGACAGATAGATAGCGTGTCATCTCAAAATTGATCATTGTTAAAATGATAGACGTATGTATATATACTTATTTATTATACATGCCAAAGTGAAAACAAAATTGTGTTGCGCCTTAAACAGATTAGCTACTCATATTCATTACAAATGATCGGGTCGCGTGTGCTTGTTATCATAAATTTTGCTCTTTTTCTTTATATGTCTTTCGGTTTTTTATTATTATTTAAGCATCATTGTGTTGCCTCGAGGGCTTTTATCTATATGTTTGAAGTCGAACAGCATTAGCAGATGGATAGGCGGTAACATTTATAGCAACTAACTTGTTGCTATTACTTTAATTGTTCAAGCATAGTCTAATTTAACAATAATTAACGAATTAAAATTTCAAATGAAATTTAACTATGATTAAATATATTATTCAAAAATTGACGAGAAAAAATTGATGAATATTTCTTATCGCTTTCCTAAAGTTTAATTTGTTCATATTAATGTCTATCTTTTGAGACACTACTAATCGGCACGGTTCAGCTAACCCATCCACTCGCATCATCATTCGGAATCTGTTGTCAATTCGTTCGTCTCTTTGTCTCACTTGAAAAGATTCTAATCCTAATTAGTTTATTTTATATATGTATGTATATATTTTTCTCTTTCCGCATCGTCTTCTTCTGTAATAACTACTACTACTACTACAGTAGTTTCTATATTTAATAGAGTCAATCGAACGACAATGAACATCAATCTTGGTGCGTGCACAAAGAAGCAAAGAAAATCGAACACATTTTATAAAGAAAAAAAATGAGAGAACGAGAATATTTGATCGATGTTAAAGAAAACAATTTGCGATCGAAAGAAAGTCTCAAGAGAGATGATCGGCAATAAGAAAAAGAGAGACAAGGTAGTGAAAGTCATTGAATTTTTTCTTTTTCCTTCTTCTTTTCTTTTTTTTTTTTTTTATTGTTTGTAACCAATCAGCAAAGAGATTAATAGAGAAAGAGGAGAAACACAACATAGTACACATTTTAATTTTCCAATTACATTTCATGTCACGCCCGATTACAGAAAGTCGAATGGCTTCAACAACCAGTTTCTTTTACTTGCCGTCAAATATAATTCGACCAGCAACGATGTCAAAAGCATTAAAAACTAAACGACGATGTTTTCCTTCATTTTTTATTACTGATATACTTGGTAATCATAGTCGTTCGCCATCACCTAATAATAAAATTCGTCTAACATCAACGACAGATAAAGATGCTGATGAAAGTGGTGATGAAGATAATACAATGTTACATGAAAGTGATGATAATGGTAAGTGCGTTTTAGTTGAACCAGAAGCATAAATTAGCACTAAAGGTAGAATGGTTAAGTTCTTCATAAGTTATGCACCCTACTACGAAGTTGAAAATATGATAGAATGGACAATGAAAATGAAATTCAAACGATTTTAACCAATAGATATTTTCAACCAATAGTAAGATTTGTTTTTTTTTATTTTGATTTTTATAGAATCAGATATGGGTGAAGAGACCAGTACATCAGGTAGTGGTGGTGGTCGTCATAGTATTAATAATAGTTCATTAAAAACAAATAAAAAACCACGTAAAGCTCGTACAGCATTTACTGATCAACAATTAAATTGTTTAGAAAAAAGTTTTGAAAAACAAAAATATTTAAGTGTTCAAGATCGTATGGAACTTGCTGCTTGTCTTAGTTTATCTGATACACAAGTTAAAACATGGTATCAAAATCGAAGGTAATTTATTTGAATATCTTAAATATGTTAGAAAAAAATTCGAATAAGTTTTGTTTTCTTTATAGAACTAAATGGAAACGACAAACTGCTGTAAGTTTGGAATTTCTTGAGCAACAAGGAAGTTTTGCTGCTGTTCATCGTTTATTTCAACATCATCCACATGTTAGTACAAGTGTTGGTAGTCCACATCCTTCTCTATGGTATTCACCATATATACCATCATGTACAGCTGCTGATGCATTCTTTACACTCCAACAAAAATCTTTAAGAAACACAAATAAATCTTCATGTGAATCATTAACTTCGACTGTAACTAGTCCGAACAAATCTGTATAAATTCTTTTTTTCGTTTTTTCTTTTTTGGCTTGTCTTTTATTCTTCTATTCTCATATAAATATTATACATTCAATACAGATGATTGAGAGAAATGCAAATATGTGCGATGATTGTTTTGTTTCAATCGATCTTCACCGACGAAGTGAAATCATAGGAAGTCAATAGCTTTGTTTTTTTTTGTTTCTACAGAGTAATTGTAAGAAAATAGGAGCAGAATAGGGGATGATTGATAATTCAATTTCATTCATTCAACATACATATACACACCTGTAAACAGTAATACAGTGAAATAATTTTGTTTAATCAATTTTTCTCTCTTGTGTATTTTGAAAATGATGGTAGGAAAAAAAAGAACAACAGAATTTCTTCTATTCTTTGCATGTGCAATACTCAATATGTGACGAAATGGAAATAATAATGACGATGATGATGATGATGATGATGATTAAAAAATGGGCACTTGATTGGCTTTTGGATAAAGTACGTATGTATTGATGATGCTTGTCAAGAGTTTTTTTTTCGCTTATTCACGCATGCATCTTACAGGTATCATTGATTGTAAAGTAGAATATCAAAAAGAAATAGTTGTTCTTTTTCTTTTTTCTTTTTTTAAATTGGAAAATATTAGAAAATTATTAAGTTTATTCTTAGTGTTGTATGATACTAATCGATTATAAACAATGTTTACCAAGAACATTTTCGATTGAAAATTATATATAAATGTCAAATTTTGGAGGAAATTTATCTTTCTAGTTTTGATTAACTTGCATTCAAATAATCATAATAGTTTTGATGAAGACAAGAATTAGCAAGCAGCTTTTGTTCTCCTATAGAAAGATAAAAAAAGATTGAGGTTATTGATTCGGATACTTGTACATGTAAGAATTCAATTCACTTTATAAATTATAACTTAACACTTGAACACGAGTGTTCTGCAAACGTCATGAAAATTAAGAGGCTCATGATGAACAAGACCAATTGTTTTTCTATCCTGATCCGTGCTTAGATTAGAAAAAATGTCGGTTCTGATTTCGCGCTTAGTAATATATGTACAAACGGAAAATAATAAATGATTTTTTTAGCAGTATTAATAGACTCGAGATATGTTGCACGATCCGCATGATCTTCCATATTTTCCTTTTTGGATGTTCATCACTTTCTTTAAAAATGTACTAATAATTCATGTATTTTGCACGTATGAAAATTGTTAAGATTGGACGTTCTCCGTGCTCGGAACACTCCTGAATTTGAAGATGGAACACATTGTATGTTCATTTAAAATTCTTCTTTCATTTCCAAAGTGCATAATCAATTGGATCTATAACTTTTGAGGATTCGTCAATCATCAATTTTTCGTATAACTTTTCTATATATTTAAACTCACTTGTTTTAATTTAAAACAGAAATTATAGTTGGATTGAAAATTTGCATATTTCATGATCATAGGAGACGAAAGATGTGTATAATTCCTTAGTATTTGTTGTAAATCTTTAAAATTGAGATCACTATTAGAATGATATTAATATTATAAATATCATAGAAAAGAAATAGAAACTAACAATGCCAATTTTCATAAGGCGCATTTGCGAGAAAATATTCATGAAACCTTCCGTTGCCCAAACGATATCAATTGAAATTATCAAGGCTTGCTTATGTTAAATATTTTCTTTCGAAATTTTTATCAATTGCTTATTTCTCTATTTATCTTAGCACAGTATATTCAGTTGAAATTTTTCTATCATTTCAGTAATATTCATACATTAATTAGTTTCATTTTATTTTTTGTATCTTATTCCGCAAGCTAAACGAATATAAATAATTATCCATCACTTTATTTCTTTCCGATGGAGACTATATTTATAAATCTACAGTAATTAAAAAACTGATCTAATTCAGTAAGATCATTCAAATAATACTCACAATGTATCCTATTAAAATCTCATCAAATAAGAGCAATCATCGTCTATTTATTCTCACCGAATGTATTAAACAGTAACATCAATACCTCTCAATGTTGATATCGTGACCTCAATGATTCTACGATAATTTCAAATCTACACACATTTTACGCATTTTTAATCGCAGAACGATAGTAACGTTCGCTTATGTCATATGCCTTGACTATTTGTTCTTTGTTCATTCTCTTATTGAACCAATACAATAATATGTTTCAATAAAGGGCAAAGAGAACGACGAAAAAAGTAACATTTAAACTAGCCTTCAAGTGAGAACGAATATACTCTGTGTCTATTTCAAACAGACAAGCACATAAAGTTCATTTGAAATACGTATAAAGTGCATTCATTTTATTAGAATGAAATTATTGATTCCTATATGTTTTCTATGTTTAATATTATGTATACAACCCGTTGAAAATCATTTTTTCAATTGGATTCGAGATAAAATTCAAGACAAAATTAATCCAACTAAATCTCGACGTTTATTTGATTGTGGTAAATCAACTGTACAACAAAATTTACCAACTAAAATGGATAAACCACGTGTAACTGGTGGTATATCAGCAGCCGCTCATTCTTTTCCATGGGTAGTTAATGTTATCAATCTTAAATCATTAAAATCATGTGGTGGAACAATTATTTCACCGGATACAATAATTACAGGTAAGAATTTTTATATTTCAATCACAAAAAAATGTTCATAAAACGACTATTGTTTTTTAGCTGCACATTGTATGATTGATAAGCCAAAACATGTAACTGTTATTGCTGGCGCGGCAAATTTTTTTGGTCGTCTTAATCTATTTAATTATTATGCTGTTTCTAAAGTTATTATTCATCCAAATTATGTATCATGTTGTGATTATGATGTTGCATTAATAAAACTTAAAAAAAGACTTCAACGTTCTGACATGATTAATTCAATATGTTTACCAAATGAAACAGATCAAGAATTAAAATCTGATACAGTAGCTTTTATTGCAGGTTGGGGAGGAAAATATCTAAAAAGTGAATTAAATGTATTTGGTTCATTTAATTTAAAACAAGGTTTAGTTTATATTAAATCAAATAATTATTGTAACGGTTTTTTTGAATCATTTGATGAAAAAGATGAAATATGTGCAGAAAATACATATGATAATGTAGATTCAAGAGGTAGGTTTCTTTTATTTACTTAACTTTATTTCTCTTTTTACTGGTCGTTGTTTGGTAGAAATTAGATCGATGAATTTGTATATATTGATGAAAATAAATAATATATTTTGTTAAGTTTAACTTTAACCGCTTGAGAGTTACAAAAAATCTAATAATAAATTAAATCATTTTCTTTTTTTGATTATATGAAATTTATTGAGCTGATTGACTTTTTTGCAAATCGATCGGCACTTGAATTCCAATTTTATTGACCATTATCATCAGTCATTTTGTTTTTTCGATAAAGAAGACAACTTGAAAAAGAATTCAACAATCGTTTATTTTCAAATGTTTTTGATTGCTTAAAGCGAAAATTAAACGTTTATTTAGCGATCACATAAAAATTGTTTTTTTCTTTACTGTCCATAATCAAAGGAAAAAGAACTTATATAATCTTATCGAATTCTTTTTGTTTTTAATCTATTTCTTTTTGTCCTGCTTATAGAAGGCGACAGTGGTGGTCCATTAATGATACTTAACAAAACAGACAATCGTTGGTATTTATTTGGCGTTACATCACATGGTGTTAATTCAGAAATAATACAACCTGGCGTTTATTCATCAGTTTCACCTAAATTAGATTTTATTAAAAAATATCTTTAATTAATTGTTTTATATATATATAAGTTATAATAAATGTTATGGTAACATAAGAAAAAAAGAAATCCCATAACAATTATTATCTCTGTAACATCATTCTAAATATGTGTTGATTGATATATATGTTATACAATAAATAAACAATAACAGTAATGATAACTCATATAAATGAGACATACAACTGACGAGACATTAAAACACATAAGTTGTTTCTGTTGTTCCTAATGTGTAAAATTGATAGTTATGTAAACATAGATAAATAAATAGACAAGATATTCGAGATAGTTTAGTGATAAAAAAAAAGAAAAGAGCAATATCATCATAAAGGAAAAAAATGTTCGAAAAGATATCTAACTACAATTATTCTTATCGTTGAAGAATTTTCCATGATGAGAAGGTCATAGAAAGTAAATCAGCAATTCTTTAGTCAACTGTCTATATAGTTAATGATCCTTAACATAAGTTGTCTCTTTGTCGATAATATATTGCCTGGTCTTCATCGTTGTCTAATTGAAAAATGTAAACTGACATGTCTGTATTTTACTATGATGATTCTATAAACAGTGAAAATGTTCGTTTACGCTTCTATCTTTATGTGTGTGTGTGTGTGTGAGTCTCTCAGCTCATCAATTATCTGTAATGCCAGATGGAATCAACTTTCGTTCAGTTGAGACGCGAGACTGAACGATATCATCGTCTATACTATTCATGATTAATCATTCTTTTTTCTCTTCAGAGAAAATGATGCTTTTCTTTTCCTTTCACTTATCTGATTTGATAGAATAAGAGAAACGCAAGCTCTTTCTTTTTTATCATTGCCACTTCTTGTTGTCTGATGACAGACAGAACATTTTGATGGTAGTAGAAAAACTAACGAATAACGTCTGCACCTAACCTTCTTCTACATATATATATTCATTCTTAACAACCATCAATCAATGATATGATGACGGCATCGTGTCCTGGTTTTCTTGATCGATATGGAATATGGAATAATGGTATAGAAAAATTTTTTAGTTTTTTTTTTTGTTTTGATAAATATGAGTTTATCTATACTGTAAGACTTTGTAAGAAAAATCAAACTTCTAAGTATTTTTGTTTGTAATAGAAAAGAAAGGGAGTCTACTTTTCCAACTATTTATTATCATTTCAATTAACAAATTCATAGTCATGAATTGTTTTGTAAATTTTATAAAATATGATTACTAATAACATTGGATTTCTATTAGAGAGAAAAATGAGACTTTTTCCTCATGACTTACTGTAGTAAATACTGTTATTCACGTTTTTTTCTACACGTATTGTAATTCATTTCAATGAAGATCTTTTCTTCCCCTATGGATACACATTGCCAGAAGATAGTAACTGATAAACAGAAGGACACATTCCTGAAATGTACTCATTTACTACAGAAGATAGTTTCTTACGTTCTACAAACTGATTTCATCACAGCTACATTGGCAATTCTAATAGTTTCTTAAATTGATGATACTCAAAGCAACTGAAATTACACTTGATAATCATTATGTTTTTAATCGAATGAATAAAATATTTCGTATTTCTATCATTGTTTTTTTGTAGGTTTTGATTGTTCATCACCTCGAATTTGTTGTGGTACGGAAACGGATCGTTATTGTTGTATTCCCTCTAAATCATCATCTCAAATACCATACCAACCATCGGATAATTTAGTTTTTCATACATCTAATAATTTTCTTTCTGAAAAATGGTTTTTCTTTCAAATGTGTACTGCTGGTATATTTCTTGTCATTATTTTACTCATTTTTGTTTTGATTTGTCAATGTTTAACATCAATTCGTCGTAATAAACAACGTCAACAACAAAGAATGTCTATTGTTCAAGTACCATTACCAGCTACTGCACCACTTTTAATTGAACATAATCGATCTGTATCAAATCGTATATCAACAATAAGTAGTACACCAAGTGATACTAAATCACGATGTACAGATATATCAACAGTATTCAATACACCACTTAATCTTTATCCAACAGCGAATAATCGTAATTCAACATCAACATCATCATCATATTATATATTTCCTAATGAATTTGAACATCTTTGTAAATAAAAAAGTTATAAATATATCAGTGTTTATTGTACATTGAATTTGTAGCTTTTTTTTAATGGAATTTTGGCAATACACACACATACATAAAATAAAAATTGGAGCTCGTATAAAAATCAAACTATAATAAAATACAAGAGCTGTCACGATCTTCGTCATATGATGGTCTTCTGTGTTTCTTTTTATATTTTCCTGAACTTCGTTCACAATAATATGCTTCAGAATATCGTTGTTGTAGTGGTTGTTGTCTTTGCTGTTTTGGTTGCTGTAATTGTGCTTCATTATATTGACGTCGTTCATCATTATGAATAGCTATCGCCAAATCACGACTAAATACATCAAACTCAAAAAATAGACACCTTTTTTTTTTTTTACAGTAGATCAAACAAACTCTCGAGATACATCCACCGGTACTGGTTTTTGCCATTTTTGACCATAACCATCAGTAAATGAACTATCATTGCCAATATCAGTCAATGTTTCAAAAACAATCGAAGTATGATTCGCAAAACCTTCATCAGAAACAAGTAATAGTAGTTGCTTCTGAAATTAAATAAAAGATAACATAATACTTGGTCGGTAAAATCAATTAAATGATCAATACAAAAACAAAATATCTAAATGATAAATATCAATGTTGTACGCAGATTAGTAGCTAAAGATTATAGTAAAATATTCCATAGTTTTAAGCAAATTATGTTATAAAGCATTAATCAGAACATAATTCAAGAGAGAGGATTCAGACAAAAATTTCTTGTCATCGACTAAATAAATCAAAAAACAAATATTGAAGGGTTTTAGATGCGATACAAGGAAAAAAATTATTAGAACTGGAAGCAACAAGTATTTGATCTCCCATATCCTTAGTTAGTATTTAAACTAGCAGTAAAAAATTGTAACCTGGTCAGTTCATAGTATATAGTGCGATTTATATCAGTAAAATATGTTCAATAATGAAATTGAATCGAAATCAACAAACAAACATAGAATAAATAAATACAGACCCAAAAACAAACCATTTAATAGAAATTCAAAGCATGAATGAGAAAAAAAAGAATATGAAAATCTGAATTATTATATTAGCAAAACAGCTTTCTTCTTTCTCAGTGATTAATACTGACCTCGCTGTTGACAATGACTTGCCATATTAAAAACGTATAGTTATACGAACAACTTTCATATACCAAATAATCTCACCGTTTTCGTTCTTTAGTTTGATGTTTAATTTTTTGTTCTCTTGTTAATATTAAACATGTGGTTTTCTCCTCTTATGCATCATCGCTTTCGGAATATTCCTTATTATGGGTTTTTCCACTTATTCTCTATATACATACAGTAGTTCATTTACTGCAATACAGTTAAGTCAACTGTTCGAGACGTTGTTAACATCTACTCTGTTTCGTTATCGTTAGGATAATACTTTACATTGATATGAAGCTTTATATTTTTTCTAAATCTTTAAATATGATTTCTGAGCTCGAAAACTCCATTGCATCACTGTCAATTTTGTCTTCGCGTAAGACGACTAGGTTCCATTAAAAAAAACAACTGTTAGTGCAACCCCCATCGAATTAACATATGAAACACGATGTAGCTGTAGCTGCTCATCATGAGAATGTTATTTTATTCTGTATACCTTGGGAGATATTTTTTTCACCCTCCTTTTACTGAATCCTTCAGCAATACAATAATAGAGTAGTTAATGTATTGTAACGAGCCATTATTGATATACGGTCGGTGATCGTATACCAATAACGTATGTGATGGTCTGTGAAGGTCTCTGGCTAGAGTTTGTCACAGTCTGTGGAAGGGGAAGACTCCAGGTTTCTATGCTAAATATTTTAACATTTCTTTTAGATTGTCTTTCACAACAATACTTATGTTAAGCGAAGGAAAAAGAATCTATTGATCTTCCCTGAAGCAAGCAAAAAAAAAATAAGACAAACATTCCCTGTCAATAAAACTATGAGATAAATCATCACCGCTTATTCACACTAGACCGAGACTTAAAGGTAGATATGATTTCTTGTTGAATAGTTTATTAGTATTTCAAATGTTCTTAATTATTAATTTTAAAAAGAACTATTCTTAACTCTCTTGATTAGATGAAAGGTGAGCAATTACTTACATTATATTTCCATATTGTACTAAAATGATTATTTCGAAAAAACACAGCTAATTGATTATCACGCATTGTTTCATTTAATTGAAGTATACCATAATGTGTTAATTGTGAACGATTTTCTTCAAGAAATTGTTCAATTAATAAACCTTAATAATTATTTTCTATTTTTTTCCTATGCCAAAAAAAACCCAATTAATCATTTTACTTTCTCGTGCAAGTCCTTCTCTATTGGATTGTCTTTGTCGAATCATTTTTTCAACTAATTGATTATAACTTGATCCATTTGCATTCACAATCTTTTGTAATTCATTATTTTGTGGATCAATAACCCATCCATGAAATAATTGTATACCAAGTAAATCAAATACAATACATTCTCTTGTATATTCAAATTTATCAACACTAAATACAAATCAAAAAAATAAATAACAATCAATCTTATTCGAAACAAATATTTTCTATTTACCCATTAAATATTAAATTAATATCTAGTCCTGTTTGAAGTTTAGGAAGTACGGCAAGTGCATCTGCAACATTATGCTCAAAATTAGCACGATCTTCATTGGATAATTTCTTAATAGAAATTCACAATATAAGAAAGCAATATGTTTTTTCGTTTTTTAATAACCATTTACTGTTATATCAATTTGAAGTATATATTCAGCAATGATTGCTATAACACGTTCTGTGCTAATTGCACCTGCATTTGGATCGAGACGAATCTATATTAAATGTAATTTATCTGAGCATTTTAATAAAAATATAAGGGAGGTTTTTTTTTTACTCTTTGTCTCAAAAATAAAATATTTGCAATAGCTAGAAGTGGACAAGGTCCATTTAGATTTTGTAGAAGAATAGGCACTCGTTCATGATTAAATTCAATCCATTTAATTATATAAATATCATTATTTATTTGATTAGTTTCAGGTAATTTTCTATTATATTCAGGAGATGGATTTTTCACTATTGTATCATTTATTTTTGAACGTTCATCGACCATAGCCCGATCATATGAATTCGAGCGAAGATGACTTTCATGTGATTTTATTTGATCATCAGCTGGACGATCAGATGATTTCTCAGTAGTGGACATTTTTGAAAATTTTATTTAAAAAACAAAAACAAAAATTCAAACGGAAAAAGAAACAAGATAGGCAGCAGGTTTTCGATGAATCATTTTTGATAGAAGTCTAATGACGACATCTATTAAATTAGAGTCTGTTGTTAGGGTAAAAACTATGAAAATGACGATAAGACTTTCTTTTTTTTAAAACTGTTTTATTTAATAATGACAACATCAACTGGAAATATAAATAAAACATATTGGACACAAAGTAATTATAATGGAGAAATTCAAAACGAAAGGTAGGACATCAACAAAAGATAAAGAATTTGGAAAAGAATTGCTTTTGCTTGTCAATTTAGACTTGAAGGAACTGCTAAATTTACTTTTCCATCTGGCACTACTTATATAGGTGAATTCAAAGATGGTGAATTTCATGGACATGGTGTACTTCATTATGGGAATGGTGCTAAATATGATGCTATTTGGGAGAAAGGTGTAGCAAAAGAAGTAGAAAAGAATTTTTTTTGCTTTTTTTCATTCTAGTATTTCGAATTTTTTTTTCTCTTAGGGTCAATATACATTTCCAGATGGTTTAACATATGATGCTAATGATTGGAAATATTGTGATGGTTATGATAGACGTTTTTATACTGAAACTCTTCATGGTTTAAAACCAGCTGGACGATCTCAATTGAAAGATAATGAACCACCTCAAGTTATTCCTCATGATTGTTATGATGTAGGCGATGGAATTTATAATCCAACATCTCGTATTGTTACTGATTATAATGGAGAATTTGTGAGAAATGCTGGTAAGAAAATAGATTAGAACTTTTATCTTTTTGTCTTTTAAATACATGAATTTTTTATATGAAAATAGATGATGATGAACATCAATGGATTATACGTACATGTCGAAAAGGATGGGATGAACATGTTGGTGGACAAAATCCACGACTTAAACCTGATATGTCGAAACTTAAGAATTAATTTTTTTTTCTTCTATTTATAAATAAAATTCAATTTTTTTAATTATTTAACTTGAATGAATGAATTATTAAGCAATAATGTATGACATTTGCCTTTTCATTAAATGCACATTTGTCCTTCTTTTATTTGAAATCAATTAAAGATAACTTTACGCATACAAACTAATATTATGATCCGCGGTGGCTTTAGGGTTCTTTGTTTAGGGAAATTTAATTGTATTTTGCTACTGTTGATGAAATTTTCTGATCGGAATAGGATGACCATCTCGAAGATACGAGATAATTTTTTCGATTTCCTATGTTCGGTGATTAGGGCACCCTGCACACATTCCTCAGATGAATCATCTTAAAAATGTGTAGAGTAGAGCCCATTGGGTTCAAAGTTGTCAAACTCGGACCAGACGAACTCTACCTTTAATTCTTCTGTGAAAATCAGGACTAAACATGAGCGGGATCATATTTTTGTGGTCCTGATCATAGTCATGGCGAATCTGGTACGTTCCTGGTTTCGGCAAAGTTTTATTTTTTATTTTTAGTTTTGATCTCGTACGTTGTCTATTCGGGTGCAACAGTAACTAAAAGAATAGAGAAAATCATGTTTTTAAATAAAAATTTAGTTTATTTAAAATGATTTTGTGAATCAAAGCAGAAGAGACAGCTTCTTCATCATTTATTTCAAGTAAATGAGTATTATCAAATGATTCATCATAGGTATATTCACAAACTAAAAAAGAAAGATGATTGTCTGAAGAAAATGAATCAATATTCAGTGAACAAGAGGAACAAATACAATCAGACGATGACGAAAACATATTTTAGTGTTCATGATGATGAAGTTTTCTATTTGTTTTATATGGGCGTGTATGTAATTGTGATTTGTTTATTCATTAAGAGTTAATATTTACAGATTTTATTTGCATTTACATCGTCTTATTTATCATGACGCGTTTTGAATGTCGATGAGAGTGTATTATTGTCAATTTACCTATCGCTACTTCAAAACTTATGACTAGTAAATATGAGCGACATCACTTGCGTTCATGTACTTATTCAAGTATACACATATGTTTCACTATTCAATCGAGCTATAATTTGATTGGCGCATTAAAAATTAAGTCAACTGTAACGAATATGATTTAGTTTAAGTTTATTTCTAATTTTATATCAATAACATCTCTTATGCCAGTTAGAATTTGTATTGTGTGTGTGTTGAAGGGAGATCATAGGGTTTAGAACATCGAAATATGATTGTTCTTGTGAAATGATGATAGAATGAGAAACTTTATCAATAAGAATAAATCTCAATCACTTTCTTTTTTCTTTCGTTGAGATGAATTGATGCTCTTTCAAATAGATGAAGAACATAAAAAGCATCAATAAATATCATGTCAGCATTTTCAATACAAACATCAAAGATAAAAATCTTCTTTTTATTTATGTAACTTAACAAAACATTTGATAATTCATGTATTTTCAGATATAATTTAATATTTTATTTATAAACTTCGTATTAAATTATGAAACACATATTTTGAAGATAATTTTTCTCTCTCTTGTGATCATTATTTTTGGAAAAAAAAAAGCTGTTGAAAAGAGAAGTACATCTTCTTTCCTTTATTTTTTTCCACTACTTGTCTACTCTTCTTCCAACTAAGACATTATTATTCATATCTTATTTTTAAAGTGCATACTACTTAACCTACACGAAAGTTTAATTGAATTTATTTTAAATAATAAAGTAAGTCACATGTAAAACTTATAGAGTGTTTTGTCTATTGAATTTTTAAATAGTTCATGAATATTTTCAAGAATAAATTCATACGAAGTGTGACACCATTGGTCATATCGGAAACACAACAACAAAATAATTCAAGTGCAACTTCAACTTCTTATAAAAAAACACATTATACTATTGAAGTACCATTATCAACGCATGAGATAAATAGTCGAAAGCGCAATTTTTGTCAGCAATGTTGTTCAAAAGAAAGTCTTAAAGAACAAGCTTTACTCATAACTACTGTTGCTTCAGTTCTAATTGGTATTGCCGTTGGACTTGGTCTTAGAAATTTTAAATGTAATACAGGTAAAGAAAAAATAAGTTCTTCAAGATTTTCTTCTACTATTAGTTTTGTTTTTTGTTATAGATGAATATATTAACGGATGTCGTTTAACTAAAGAAGATATAGGATATATTGAATTTCCTGGCACAATTTTTATTCATATACTTAAATTGCTTATACTTCCATTGATTGTTTCAAGTATTATTTCATCATTAGCTCAACTCGATGCACAATCATCTGGAAAAATGGGTTTACGGGCATTGATCTATTATTTTGGTACAACTATCATTGCAGCTATTATTGGTATTATTCTTGTATTAAGTATACGACCGGGATTACGTGGCGGTCAAGTAGAAATCAAACCAGAATCAAAAACAGTCGAAGGTCGAACTGTTGATACTATTCTGGATTTAATCAGGTAAATATATATATATATATAGAGAATAGTTTTGTTTATTTTATTAAAATTTGACATTTTAGAAATCTATTTCCTGAAAATATTGTGCAAGCTGCATTTCAAACTGTGAGTATTCAAAAAAAAAAATTATCAAATAAATTCGTTCACTTTATTAGACAGGTACTAAACTTACCGTCAAAAAAAAATTAATTGTGGGTGAAAATAATACAAGTAATATTTTAATTCTGATAATTAAAAAGGATTTAAATATATATATATATAATACATTTAGCTTATAACAAAACTGTATACAATGCAGTATTAGAAAAACGAGATGGTATCAATGTACTTGGCTTACTTCTATTTTGTATTCTATTTGGTATTATTATAAGTCGATTAAAAGAAAAAGCACTTATACTTAAGCAATTTTTTGAAGCTATGTTAGAAGTTGTTATGCAACTTGTACGTATTGCTATGTTATTTAGTCCTATTGGTATTTTTTTTCTTATTGTTGCCAAAATACTTTATATGGATAGTTTAAGTGATTTTGCTGGTTCATTGGGTCTATATATGGTGACTGTTTTAGCTGGTTTATTTATACATGGATTCATCATTTTACCTTTAATTCTTTTTATAATAACACGTATGAATGTTTTTAAATATATACGTGGTATGAGTCAAGCACTAGTAACTGCTTTTGGTACAGCTAGTTCATCAGCAACATTACCTGTAACATATAGATGTGTTGAAGAAAAAAATCATATTGATCCAAGAGTTTCACGATTTGTCTTACCTGTTGGAGCTACTGTTAATATGGATGGAACAGCATTATATGAAGCCGTAGCAGCTATTTATATAGCTCAACTTAATGGTATTCCATTGAATGCTGTCAAAATTATTGTAACTACGTAAATTTATATTAATTAAAAAGTTATGAATATATATATATATTTATATTCTTTAGTTTTACATCAACATTAGCATCAATTGGTGCTGCAAGTATTCCTCAAGCTGGTCTAGTAACAATGGTTATTGTTCTCAATGCACTTGGTTTACCAGCAGAAGAAGTTCGAACAATCTTTGCTGTAGATTGGCTCCTGTATGTTTATAAACTTCTATTGTCATAGTCTTGCTTTAGTAACAAATATGTTCTTGTTCATTTTCAGTGATCGATTTCGTACTGCTATTAATGTATTTGGTGATTCGATTGGTTGCGCTGTTGTTAATTATTTATCACGTAAAGAACTAGATGCACTTGATAATAAGAAACTATTACCTGATGATGGTGATACAAATAATCCAAACTCGAGTGTTTCTTTTCTCGTACCTAATAATACTACAATGCTTTCATCCAATCATGTGCCACCCGTGATATTTGATAATCCAACATATTCAAATCAACCAGAAACAACAGTTGATGACGATGACAATATTATGGCTCAAACAAGTTTTTAAATAATACAAAAAAAAGAAACTATTTTACTTATATATCGTATATGTTTCTGTATAATTTTTATAAAAATATAAAATTTTCAAAAAAACAACACATGTGATCTATACTAGCATGGTTGGCATCTTTCATTCTTCATTATGATCTTTCGATGACATTATCGATTAATGTAACTACTCTTATTCATTCTCTTTATAATACATTAGTGATAATCATCTATGACAAGCTCTTTTCCTATTCAGCTGAAACAAAATAGACAAAAAGATACTTATCGATACATCATACTGACTGTATTTTCTCATAAATAAAGAAGAATGTCATCAGTCTACATATGAGAGAAATATTAACTAAACAGATGAGATTTCCTTTCCATTATTTCTAGTTCATCTATAATTCTTTTTCTTTGGCTTATCTACGTCATCGCACAAAATAACATATTGAAGGTTGATTTTATTCTCGTATTTTCTGCCATGTCTTATTGACATATGTTTCTTCTAAATGCTAATTGTACTGTTATCAAAGTATTTTTCATCATGAACAATGGCGATCAAAATTACAACAAATACTACTACAAGTCCAACAACAACAGTATTTGATAGAGCACCAAATACTATATGTAGCGGATTTATTGATGTACATGGAACATGGAATAATGGTTAGTATATAAATATAAGTCTGTATTTGATGTTAGATAAGTATAAAATGAACTGAAACAGACAGGAATCATTTCAAGTACAACGTAAGCAACTTTCGGGGAGAGGGCGTTGGTAATTTTTTACCTTTAATTACTCTGGGAAGAAGTAAAATCACCCGAAGATTACATAATCGTGAAAAGGCAAACAGTAAAGCTCAGGTAGATGACTAAACGAGAAGTCATATACTAGATAAATTTTACAATGTGGTGTGACCTAACTCAAGTTGATGTGAAGTACTCGTTCAAAGAATAACTGCATTGAAGATCTTCACTGTGAGTTTTGGTTTCAGCTTTTGTTTCGATAATATATAATTCTCACAATTTCGAATTGAAATTGCTTTTGCTGATTTCATACTGTCAAAATTGTCGCTTTTAGTAATGTGAAATATAAATATAGGATACATGACTGAATTGACGATCCGAACGACTAATAAGTTTTCTCTTTTTTAAGATCGATAGCTTTAAGAACTAGTTAGAGATCTTACCAAAGGAAAATAATGAAATAGATTTTTTGAGAGTCCAACACAAGGCTCTACAACTAGTTCAGATCGCGATCATCCTAGTGTTTCAAGGATTAGTTCTCGTCTCAATCTCACATAGCTGGAATTGATACTACTCTTACTGAATATATGTTTGGTTTCTTAACTTACGATAGAAGCTCGTCAGTTGTTTCTGTCTGATTTCAATGATTTTTTTTTCTCACTATAGATACTATATATTGTTTCAATAAAAACTCTCAAAGGATTTGAATTTCTATGGAAGTTTAAATAAGTTATGAAATTTTTATTATGTCTATTTTCTAGAGATCCAAAGTTTTCGAAAAACTTGTATTTTCAAATTTTGATCTAAAACTTTTTCCATATAGAGAACTCAACTGGATTAACTTCCAGAAAAAAAAAACTCAAAAGCTTTGAATATTAATGATTATGTAATTAAGGGAGTGTGATAGACTCAAGATTACGATTACTTATTTGAGAGTAGTATACAATTCAAATGACTACAAAACTGCTTACGTAGCACTGGGATAATTCCACATTGAACATTGACATATACATAAAAAACTTCAATCAAATGTTTTTGTTTGATAGGTTTTGCATGTCCAATTGAAAATTTAACTCAACATTTCTGTTGTGGAACAGATACTTATCGTTACTGCTGTTCACCTGATCGTTATTCATTTGAAACAAGATTTTACACGGACTCTAATCATGTTGTTGATTATCCTCAAGTATATAATGGTATTTTAACTGATGAAATTACTGCATCATTAATTAATAATCAACGAATGATCAATAAACAATTTCAACAATTTCAAAAATATTTTTTACCTACATTCTTGTTAACAACTACTATCCTTTTTCTTGTTGGTATTGCTCTATGGTTTTGGTTGTATAAACATAAAACATATTATTCATTAACACACGATGATTTCATTCAATCAAGAATATCACATCGAATTCAAACTAATTCTAGACCAAGATTAGCAGAAAATATTAATCTCAGTGTAGAACAACAACATCGATCTTTATCACATTCATCAACTGCAGTTTAACGTTGAACTTTATTTATAATTCCGTCCATTATTTGACAAAAAAGATTAATTAAAATTGATGTATTATGAAATATCGAGAGATGGCGTGAGATATCGGATAAATATTGTTTCTGGGCAATTCTGCTATAGCTGTCCAGTTTTTATTCTAACTCATATCCATCATATATGCGTATATATATATATTTTTCTTTCATACTGTTTAGTTCACCTTTTCACCTTCCTTTCCTCTTATTCTCATTTGATGTAGAGTCGACTCAATTTTTTGTCTCGTGCTGTTTTTTCATAATTATTAATCGTAGGTGTTATTACTTGTAATTTTTAGATGATGACTAGTGATCCATCAAACATTGATACTGAAGATAGTTTACTTCAACCAGAGATTTGTGAAAATGAATTTACTAAGCCAAAGGTTTATTTTTTTTTTTAAATTAAATATTATCATTATTATTTTATTTCATATTCAGATCATTCCAATTTCAACAAAATATGGCTATATAGTAGTAACACAACAAGGTCCACCCGATCGTCCAGCCATTGTTACTTATCATGATGTTGGATATAATTGTAGGTTTTTCATATTTATTTCATGTAAGAAATATAAATAAAATTGTTTCTTTGCTTCAAGCTACAACACAATTTCATCAATTTTTTGCATTTCCAGAAATGATGCCGGTCACTGAACATTTTACTATTTATCACATCAATGCACCTGGACAAGATGATCAAGCGAATCTATTACCAACTGCGTATGAATTTGTTTTATATTATTTTGAATTAGCAGATTTTATTCTAGATTTGTTTATCCTACTATGGACCAATTAGCTGTATCAGTTAATGATGTATTTATGCATTTAGAGTAGGTTTTTGTTTTATTTCTTAATATTTCAAACGTATTCAATTTTATTAAATGAATATCTTTTTTAGTATTAAATCTGCTATTGGATTTGGTGTTGGTCTTGGTGCTAATGTTTTGACTCGTTTTGCATTGCAATATCCATCAAAAATCTATGGTCTTATTTTGGTTAATTGTGTTGCACGTAGTGTAAAATGGCTTGAAAACTTCTCTATTAAAGTATTTAGTTTTGACAAAAAAAAATTTTTTTTTTTCATATATATAAAATTCCTTTTTATAGCGAACAGTAAAGGATATGGCACAACAACATTGGACAGACGCATTGTTGAACTATCTTATTGAATATCATTTAGGATCTGTATGTATGATTGATGCATTTTAATAAAATAAGAATTATATAATGTAGGCAACACAAGTATCAGATCCAGATCTCGTAAACATGCTTCGACGTCATTTAGAAGAAAATGTTAAAGCTAAAAATGTGATAAAACTTCTCAATTCATTTTTAACGTAAAAATATGTTCAAATAAAATTTTTTAATCATTGTTAGTTTTTTTTTTCTTCGGTTTAGTCGTACAGCTATTCCAATGGATCCACCAGCTGTTGGAAGTAAAGGGGCTAATTCATCTAGAACTCTAAAGTATGTAGAATTTCTTTAATAGAAAAAAAAAACAACAAAAATCGAATTATCTTCATAGATGTTCAGTTATTAATATTACTGGATCTACATCGCCACATAAACAAGATGTTATGGACACTAATGATCAATGTGATGCCTCAATGGCTTCTTATGTTGAAGTTGTTGATTGTGGTGGTGCTGTCTTACTTGAACAACCATCAAAATTAGCTGAATCTATCCGACTTTTTCTTCAAGGTCTTGGTTATTGTAAGATATATACATTTTTGAAAAGTTACTATTTTTTGGTTTCTTACAAAAAACTTTCCTTTCTAGTGTCGCATTTAAGCATTCCACGTTATTCTACTGCTAATCGTTTAGCTGAACAAGCAGCTGAATATAAACGTCAACATGGTTCATTATCTAAAGTACCTCGTCGAGTTAGTACACAAGTTCAATCTCGAGATTATGGTGAAAAACTTTCAGCTGAATTTGATGATGAACCTCGACGTCGTGCCGGTTCATTTACTAATCGAAATACTCAATTTTAAACTCATCATGTCTTTCATATTTTCTAATAACATTTCATCTGCAATAGTGATCTCAATTTATATTTTTTTTTTAAATTTCTTTCCAATTAAATCGCAATTTTTTTTAAGAAGTAAAAAGAAAAAGAACAATATTTTCAATTTTTAGATTTCGATAACTAATGTCGTTTCATCAACGTGATGAAATTCGATGGAATAAAAAAGGTTACTTTGAAAGATTCGACGGAAAAAAATATTGGCGAAAATTATGTGTTATTGAAGGATGTATGAAACGAGCAAAAGTACTCAATTGGTGTAAAAGAGTAAGTCTCATATGTTTATAGATCAATGAAGTCGTTAGTTTATTGAGTAAGATAGAAGATTGAACAATGATGTATCGATCGAACCTAGAGCTAGTTATTAATTCTTTATAGAGTAGTTCTTGAATGTATCATTTAAATTGAAAACTCAAATGTCTTAAAAATTGTAGTTTTGTATTAATCGTTGACTATTCATTATAAAAAAAAACTTGAGGAGGTTTCTATGCTCTTTTGTAATATTCTGTAATAAAAATGATTTATATTTAGCACTATACGGAACAAAAACAAAAATCTTTAATAACAACAACTCCTACTCAAGTACCACAGCAATCATTAGTATCATCAATACCTAGTTCAATAACTGCAACTACAAATTCAAATAGTATTTTATCATCAAATCTTCTATTTCATCAACCCCATTATCATCATCTGCAAGCTGTTTCTCAAATTCCTATGCCACCTCCATCATATCTTTATACATCTGCATCATCATTATCTGATCAATCTGAATCAATATTTCATGTTAGAAATGAAATTCGTTTAAATAAACGTGGCTATCGTGAACAATATGATGGTATTGGTCATTGGCGTCCATTATGTATACACGAACAATGTTTAAAACGAGCAAAAAAATTATCTTATTGTAAACGGCATTATAGTGAATACATGAATCAAAATCAATCGAATTCAACTAATATGAAAACTGAAACAGATAATAAAGATTAAATCGAAATTTAAAACAAGTAAATGAAATAACATGAAGAGAAAACCTGTGTCAGATAGACGAAAATATACTTGAAAAACAAAAAAAAATGAAAATTGTGAATATATGTATATATTTATTATATAAACTTTGCATTTATTGTTCTTTGGTAATGAAAGTCAATGTCAGTTTTCTTTTTTGTATGTATAATTTTGAATTTTAAAAGATATCCGTTAAATGAATGTTGAATAAATGAATATCTATAGACTATTTGATTCGTCTTTTCAACCAATAAAATCAAAACTATTCTAATAAAAAACAAAGCCACACGTATTTTTACTCAGTACGTCAAAGTAATGTTTATGAAAAGAATATATCAACGCAAAAGGAAAAATAAACTATCAACTAAAATTGACATAAACAAGTATTTTATGAAAGGACTAACGAAATGTAGTCTAAAAATAACTGAAGGACAGATGTTATCTATCCTTCAGTTTCATGATTCATTTTTTTTTTGCTTTCTTTATTTTTTATATTAGAAGAACCTTCAAGTCAACATAATAAACATTACTTGCGTAAACAAAACTTAAGACAGATGGAAAACGATAATAGATATGATTCAATAAAATCAAACTAAATCAGAAGCTCATACGACGATATTATGATGGATATATAGCAAAACAATACAAATCTATCCGTTCTATTGTAGCAAATATTGCAGTGGCAATCATGTTAACACCCATTCAATCAATAGAAAAATGTTTTTTTCTTAATAATTAACGAAGCCAACTTTGAAGTTCGATTTTGCCAAGGAATCATGGAATTGTCTTAAATCGATTTATTGTTATTATAAGGTCGAGATTTCGAACCAGATTGGAGTTTGTCTCATTATTCATTATACACAACATTATTTTTAAGAATAGCTAGTACACTCCACAGTACTCACTACGGTGTTATTTTGCTAACATGAGCTGCACAAGGTCAATTTTTTATGGAAGACAATAAAGTTTTAAATAGGTCTGTTTTGTCTTTCTCCCATAATTGTAGATATTCCAACAGCAAAAATTTTTGCGCTTGAATTTAATTTTTCTCAAGGACAGAATATATAGAAGCTTGAGTACTGCATCACCTGACAGTGCATTACGAGCTTCAAATCAGTCTAACACTCTTTATTTAAAAAAAACACTTACTCAAAAGAATTTAGGAGAAATTCAATTTTTTTTGCCATTACCTTTCGTTTACTGAATATTGAATTTTCATCTTTATATCCATGTAAAATAGTTGTCTGAAATATGAACAATTATTCTTTTCTTCAAAAACAAATTACAGACGTAATAATTAGCTGGAACGATAGAACTGTTATGCTTTAGATTATTTAGATATTTATTGTTAACAGCCAGTTGATCCTCTATCTGATTTCAAAGTAATAAGTAAGCTTGATTTTTTTTCAGACATTTTGATTTTAAATTTAAAAATCTTAACTTATAAATTTTGTTAAAAAGAGAGTACGAATATCAAATGGCAAGTCCACTTTTATTGGTAACAAACAGGACAGAAGATCAATCTTTGCGCTTCAATCATTTAATATTGGTTAATAGGACTTCAATTCTTTTCGATTAAAGTCATTTAGTATCATATAGTTAGTCTTAGAGATATCAAAGCCGATTTACGACCATAGTGTTGGTCCTGATCTAGCAGTAAACTTTAAAGAACACTAATGATGCTAGGAGAGAGTGCAAAATAATTACATGGAGAATATCTATGAAGGAAAGTGTATTCATCAAGACAATAATAAACAAAATCATGAGACCACGAGTCAATTGTCCTATATGAACTACAGAATTCTATTAAATATAAACAGGAGGAGTGGAATATTTCGTGAAGCAACTGTTACCTCTTGTAGTGCTGTTATGCCACTCATGCTTGTTAAGTATTGCGGAGCGTACTGACGACTATTCCTAGAAAAAAGGCTCTTTATAAAGATTAATGATGTACAATACATTAGAAAAGAATGAGAATTTTTTGCTCTTTCAGAATATATATATGGATTTTTTTCTATGACTTTAGACTATTAAACTATATAATGAATCTTAAAAACGCTCAAAAAAAATTTTCAGAGAAAAAAATCTCAAATAGAACTTGTTCCAGACATATCACAAAATGTTATCGAATATATTAGAAGATTGAGAAAATAATTTTCTACGAAACAGTATTTTAGAATAATGTTTTTTTGAAAACTGTCGAGCTGCAGTAAAGACTTTTATAAGCATAACTCTGCCATATTTTAGTGGACTAATCAACAATTTCCAATTCTTGCGTCTTTGTGTAGAGTGGAGATCATTATTAAGTATTATATTGATTCCATGTTAAAATGACAATTAGACAGTGTATTGAAATTCAAGAAAAACAACTTTATGACATATATAGTAATAATGATGTCTAATAAGCTCCATCAATTGCAGTAGGTTAAAATTGATATGGATAAAGTTTTAAAAATTTCCCAAAAACGAAAGTCTCAAACGTCTTTAGATTGTTTTTTTTTTTATTTAAATAATTTAAATAAAAAAGAATTAATAAAATTGAGTTAAACAGTTTTTGAATTTCGGTTTTATGTTCGAAAATGAGTAGACAATGCCGATACTATGTCGTATCATCGATCTTTCAAAAATAATAATAACATTGATATTAAATTATCTATTAGAACATAGAGAATTAATCTGCGATTTTTACATAATAGCTTGCAAAATTTACGTGAATTTGAATTCATTTTGAAATAAATGCAATACACATACGAATAAAAGCCGGCATAGGATGCCTGGATCGATGTCGCTAAGGAAAACTGCACTTTAACATACACAGCAATTTCACTGAATCAACATTTTCCTAGCTCCTTTCCTCGTCTTTTTCTATACATTGATCTAAAGTTTCTTTTGGATTTAATTCAATATATTTTCTAAGAAAAATAAAACATAGCTTTATAGATGGTGCCATCGTATGGTCTGATTTCATGCCATTCTTAGTAAAAGTTAAGTTTACTCCAAAATGAACTTTAGATTAATAAACAGAAAAAAACAAGAGGATTTGCAAAGAAAATTTTATCCAATGAGACTGCTTTTTATATCAATCAAAATTTGTATTTCTCTTAAAATCACCAGGATACGAATCAATCGGTTTCTATCGAATAAAATGCATGCTTATAAATCTTGCACATACTCAACGAATTTTCGAAACGTTAATAATCGAACAAACTTTGAATTCTATAGATGCCATATTTTGTTTTGTTTTTTGGCATTTGTTTATTTTAGACACAACAAATGTCACGTTTACTCACTACAGTGGGATGTATTAAACATATCAATTGGATAGAGTGATGTGTTGAAAGTGAATTTAGGTCATTTTTTTAAGTAAAAAATAAGGATTCAATATGTCATTGTATTTCTTTTATTACAATATTCTGTACGATGTCAACCCTATTGCATATTCTACTCATCTATGCACTTTAATCCATAAAATAATACTTCATGGAATTGTCAGCTTTAGGAAAGAGAACAGAACATTTTTAACGAAAAAAAACCAATCTAATCAAACCCGATGGTGCTTCAGTAAAAACCGTTTTTCTTTAAACAATACATTTGTTTCTTATCCTCATAATGGGATTCCGTCGACGTGGACTTATAAAATATTTATTCTTAATTCCAACATTATGGTTTATTGTGATTATATTATTTTCACTTCGTACAGATTCTATGTCTCAATCACAAAATGATATGCAAATAAATGTTGTCGATAAAACAGCTTCGCCATCATTTGTTGATCGTATAATAGGTGCTTTACCATTTAAATATAATGTTGATAATGATCATCCACCTGAAGAACGTGCCAAAGCACTTGAACAAGCACGTGAAATGAAAGCTCAAGTACAAGTTGTTGCACCAGAAATGAAGAATGAACATAATGATCCGAAAATTGGTGGTCCCGGTGAAATGGGTAATGCAGTTCGTATTGATAAAGATAAATTATCCAAAGAAGAAAGAAAAAAATATGATGATGGATGGAAAAATAATGCATTTAATCAATATGTTAGTGATATGATTTCCTTAAGAAGAAATTTAGCTGATATTCGAGATCCAGAGTAAATTGAATATATATATATATTTATTTATTTTCTTATTTTAATAATAATAAATATAATGTAGATGTAAAAAAGTTGATTTTCATCCAAATTTACCTGATGCATCAGTTATTATTATTTTTCATAATGAAGCACGTTCAACATTATTACGTACAGTTTATTCTGTTCTTGATCGTTCACCAGCTCATTTATTAAAAGAAGTTATACTTGTTGATGATTTCTCCGATAAAGGTGCGTTATCGGTAAGTTAAGGGAAAATAATAAATCGAAATCTCTAATTTATTGTTTTAATTAGAACATTTAAAAAAAATGCTTGAAGATGATATTAAATCATTAGCAAAAGTTCGATTACTTCGTGCTGATAAACGTGAAGGTCTTATACGTGCTCGATTAAAAGGTGCTAATGATGCAAAAGGAAAAGTACTGATCTTTTTGGATTCACATTGTGAATGTGCTGAAGGTAAAAAAAAATAATAAATGTTTTAATATACGATAGTTAAAGAAAATGTGTGAGATCAAGTGTTTGGTAGTCCCAATCATAATCTTGGTAAACTTGATCGCATTCTAGTCAGGATCTCGATAAATCTAATCTGATTCCAGTCTAGAGAAAATTATTCTAAAGTTTATTCGTATCACATCGAAAAAAATCTTTTGATATTGAGTTGGTTTTGCACATCTCTTAATCGGATTTAGACTAAGTCATAAATTTGAAGATCTAACAGTTTTCAGTTGATACTAATCTTAAAGTTTTGAATCATCTTTTTTTTTTACAAGGATGGCTTGAACCACTTTTGGATCCTATTGCACGAAATAATAAAGTAGCAGTTGTTCCATTAATTGAAATTATTGATGATTCTACATTTCAATTAACTGGTACACCAATACAAAATATACAAGTCGGTGGTTTTGATTGGAATCTTATATTTAATTGGCATGTTACACCAGAAAAAGAAATGAAAAGAAGACAGAAAAAAACAGATCCAATTAGGTAAATTCTAACAAAAAAAAATTAAAAACTAAAGTCGAACAGATGACTTTGATATATTTCTAGGAGTCCAACAATGGCTGGTGGTTTATTTTCTATTGATCGTGATTGGTTTGATCAACTGGGCATGTATGATCCAGGCATGGATATATGGGGAGGTGAAAATCTTGAACTTTCATTTAAGGTAAAAAAAACAAAACCAGCAAACAAATCAAAACTATGATTGATCATACATTTATTATTAATATTATGTATAGGTTTGGCAATGTGGTGGTGAACTTTTATGTGCTCCATGTTCACATGTTGGTCATGTCTTTCGAAAACGTTCACCATATGAATGGCCTAAAAATGTAAATGTTGTTAAAAAAAATACAGTTCGTCTTGCTGAAGTTTGGCTTGATGATTACAAAGTAAAAGAAAAAAGAAAAAGAAAAACATAATTCAAATCAAATATTTTCATTTTCTATAGAAATATTATTATGAAAGAATTGGTAATGATCTTGTAAGTATTTCTTATTTTTATCTGATAAATAAATAAATATTTTCTTTCGAGTTAATAAAGTATAATCATTTTTAGAGATGTACTCTATATCATCTATTCAGTCTAAAGATTTGATTTCTTTGCTAAAGCTCAAATAAATCATCAATAAAACAAAAACAAAAGAAAATATGTATTAGTAACTCAATACTTCAGACAATATCATTGATATAAGAACAAATGTTTTTTGGTTATTTTCAATAGTAATAATATGACTTTAGATTGACATGTAAAAATATCAAACAGCTTAGTTTTGTACGTGATGATTAGTTCATTTACTTTTTTAACTTATGCATCCGATCGATAACATTATCAGTAAAAAAAAAAAGAAGTATGAACTAAACTTATGAAAATGTGTTTCTTTTTCTAAATAAAAGATTTTTATGTTAATGAATTGTTAGATAGTTTATTTTAGATTTATTTGCATTTCATTATTTTGTTTACATAGTGATTTGTCATCTTCATACTATTATCTTTTCGTTTTACTTTACACACATATCAAATATCTATTTGTGACAAGATCACGAAGAATTTTATATCTAAACTAACTTTATCAAAATTGTTAATTAGTAGATATTACTTGTTGTGATTTGAAAGAAAATAATCTATGAGCGCAAAATTCAATAAAAAAGACAACTAGTTTAGTGTTTTATTCAGATTTGCTCTTCCACAAGGGCGAACATCTGTTTTTGGAAGCACATACAGTGTACGTAGTTTCATAACGACAAACGAGAAAAGGATTAAGCCGATCTTTCGAAGGGAGGTGCTGTCTTCATGCTGAATAAAACATTGAACTGGTTAGAGTTAGAAGTAATCAGTTCACAATTGTAAACCGTCGACAGTGACGAAGCCAGAGAGAGGATTAGGGGGACCAATCTCCCCCTGGAAGATTTAAATTGCTGGAGGGGGGTATAGACATATTCGTTTTCAGAAGCAAAAAATCACTTTTTCTCGATGATGGTCCCCCTCCGAAAAAAATTTCTGGCTGCGCCACTGACCGTCGATCCAGTTCGGTATAGATTTTTTCGCATATCCAATCACTTTTATTTTCAAAGCAGATAGATTTTGACAAGTAGATCAAAAGTTGTCATTGATTCAAAGTTCTCAGATGCAATTTTTTTTTGCAGATAGTAGACACAATTTTGGGTTTCTACTTATTACCTCCTTCCATTTGAATGAAAAGATCAAAATATGAGTAGTATCTTCAAAAATGAATGATGCATTATGTTTCAAAACAAAAAAGTAGACACTTCAAACAGTATTCAATGCTTGTAAAATAAGTTTCAGCTTAACCGTATATATTATATTGGAGAGATGGGTGGCGATTGTGCACATTTTATGTAAAAATTCAACTCGAGAAAAACGAAAGACAAGTTTTCTCGTACGCATCAAGACTTTTCTTCTCCAACGAAACTATTCGTGTTAGAGGTTCATGACTTATATTTTCAGCACCTTTAAAAAATAAAAATCATTTATTATCATTAGAAAAAATTCACATATAAATAATAATCGCAATGCAAGAGTTGAGATTAATGAAATTGCTAACTAACAACGAAGAGTCTTCGTTTATATGGCATTTGACAAAGAATATCTGGAAGGTATATAAGCGATGAAAAATCGAAAACATTTGAAAAGAGTAGTCGAAACAATGAGCTAATATTTCTGTGCTAAAACTTTCATGTCATAGATTATATTGATAGAATTATTTGGTTAAATTATAAAAACAATGACATAAATTTCTTTTTTTGTTAAGGGTGATTTTGGTGATGTATCTGATCGTTTAAAAATTCGTGAACGTCTTCAATGTAAACCGTTTAAATGGTTTCTTGACAATGTGTATCCTGAGCAGTTTGTTCCAGGTGAAAGTTTATATTTTGGCGAGGTAAATTTTCTTATTTATTTATAAAAAAGAAAAAAATAATAAAAGAAAATTTTTTGCAAAGATTCGAAGTCGTGCTAAAACAAATGTATGTGTGGATTCTCAAGAAATCGAAGATGGTGATAAGCCACTTATTGGTTATCCATGTCATGGTCAAGCTGGCAATCAATTTTTTCTTATGTCTAAATCATTTGAAATTCGTCGTGAAGAAAAATGCTTAGATTATGCTGGTGGACTTTCAGAATTAGGTAAACCAGGAAAAGTTGTTTCATTTACTTGTCATTCTATGCAAGGAAATCAAATGTGGACATATGAGGTAAACTTATTATTAAACAAAAAATCAAAATTATTTTTAAATATATTTTTTTATTAGAATGATATGTTTCGACATGCGTCAGGTTTTTGTATTGAATTATCATCAAAAAATGACAAAGATATTTATATGTCTAATTGTGAACCGACAAATAATTATCAAAAATGGTTTTGGAAAAAACGTATAAACAATTCAACAAAAACTTAACTATTTGTTTTTTCCTTTTGGTACTCAAACCATTCCTTTACATTTCTTTTTTCATTATGTTTGGTGCTGCTCAGTTTTTTTTTGTTTCTTTTATATTCTTCCTAAACGATTTGACAATACTCATAAACACAAAATAAAAATTTTAAAAACATTTAAAATATTATATCTTTTAGATAAAGATGATGAATTCGGATGGTACAGGTGCAACAGCGCAAATAGATGATCAACAAATGATCAGTATAGCTGAGCGAGAAAATTATATAACAAGATTGTAAATAATTAAATCAATATTTTTATTATTTGAACTAAAATGATAAAAATACATTTTTTTTCTTTTATTTAGAACAAATATTTTTGGTGGTAATCGTGATTTAGCTATACGTTTTGATGATGCTGCCTATAATAGGAGTGGAGGAAAATTAGTAAATGAATACTTCTTTTGTGTCTATTAAAAATTAATTAATTTATTTTAGTTACTCTATCGAAGAATAATACAAACATTATTACAACAAAGAAATCAACAAATACAACAGCAACAACAGTCACAGCAGCAGCAACAACAACAACAACAACAACAATCGATAATGAATTCACAAGGTCAACAACAAATGTACATGCAATCTCAATCAACACAAATGAATGTAATGCCTCAACAACAACAACAGCAACCATCACTTCAACCTTCCTATACAATGTCAGCACCACAACCAACGTCATCAATCGTTCAACCAACATCAATGATGAATATCAAACAAGAACCACAAGTTTCTTTATCTAATATGCAATCAAGACCACCTACACAAAATTTTCCAATACAACAGCAACAAATCAAACAAGAATTAATGCCACCACCGATACAACAACAACAACAATCAGGACTTCAAGTTCAACAAATGCGATCACAACAACAGCCATTGCCACCTCCACCACCACCACAATATATGCAACAACAACAACAACAACAACAACAACAACAACAACAACAGCAACAACAACAACAGCAACAACAACAACAACAACAGCAACAACAGCAACAGCAGCAAGCATCAGCATTACCTTCTCAACCTACATCAGGTGTACCTCAACAACGTACTCTTGCTCAGGTTTTTTAATAAATATTTTAGAATAAAAAACAATTATGTAAATTTAATTGTATAGCATCTACAGCAAGTACGTCAACAAAATCATCTCAATCAACAACAAGCACAACAAGAACCGTCTAATTCTTCTCAATTACCACAACAACAACCAACTAATTCTACAGTACTACCACAATCATCATCAACATCATCTGGTAGTCAAGATGAAAGTAAATATTTCGAAAATTTTTACTAATAATACTCATCATTATTTTTTTAGTACTTCAACATATTCTTACCAGTCCAAATCCACCTAAACAACCACCGACTGTTGCACAAGTTAGACTGCGTACCGTATGTAACAAAAATAACAATGAACACTCAAATAAAATTGTCATTTTTAGATGAATCGAAATATTCGTAATCAAGCACCACAAATTAATCAAGCAGTACAACAACAACAACAACAGCAACAGCAACCAAGTACAATGGCACCGTATGTCGAAATCATTGTGTGGTTTTTATCGTTAATAACTTTTAATTTTCAGAGGATCGGATTCAATGATGGCTTCTAGCAGTAATAATGCTATTCAATCACCTCATTCTCATCCTGGTATGATGCAACAACAGCAAACACCTATAGGACCACCTGGTCAAAGTCCATTAGCACGTTATATGATGGCTCAATCACCACAAGGTGGTGTTTATCGTCCACCAATATCTCCAATGAATATGATGAGTACGAAAGAGTCAACATTTTATACATATATATATATCTATACGAATACAAAAATCATTCTCTAGATTATTCTGGTAGTCCAACAATGATTGATGAAGAAATGCATTTTCTCTTTAAATTTTTTACTGAACGTATTCAATATTTAACTCGAATAATTGCTCGATGTCAACAAGAAGGTATAAATTTAAAAAAAGAATTTGTTTTTTCTTTGGTTTTGTAAAACACGATTTAAAACAAGTGTTTAAATATAGAGATAGACATTTGGAATCACAGATCGCGGTAGATGTTGTTGATATACGATCAAAGACCATATATCAATAACATCTTGTTATAGTACATGAAGTACTTTCTTATTGCATTTTTGGGGGACTAAGTAAAAGAATAGTGAAGCAATGTTTTTCAAAATAAATATAATAAAACAATCTTCCAGTGATTAGTAACAGTAGCTATGTGATTTTTCATATTCTAAATCCACACGAAATGCGTTAATAGCTTTTTAGCTCTTGATTTTTTTCTCAGGTCAATCTGATAAAGTAGCTAAATATCGTCAATTGCATGATCAAATATCTAATTTTGTTCGAAATCTCATTCCTGAACATTTAATGGCTGCACGTCGCCTCAAAGAACATGTTGATCGCATGCTTGGACCAGTAATTATGCCAACAATGAATGATATGTCAACAATGGTACTCTCAAATACAAATGGTACTCGTTTAATGACAAATGGAATATTTGAACAGTGTCAACGTACAATTGCTGATTATTTAAATAAAGATTCAGCATTAAAATATAATATTGCAAAACGGTTCTTAGAGCCACTAAGTGAAGTTCTTAATGGTGTACCACATAAGTATGTGAAAGTTTCTAAGAATTTCTTTTTTCTTTATGATACATGTAATTAAATGAAAAATTTAAAAGCAAATTTAATAATAATAATAATAATAATGTTTGAGGAAAGCAAAAATAAACTGTGTATTTTTCGAATTTGTTTGATTAAAATGAATTTCTTTAGTAACTAACTATTTGGTTAAGAAATATAGACCGATGATAAATAAAATTAATAAATGGTTTTGTGATTTTAGCCACCTGGATACGGACAGCAAGTTACTGTTAAGAAGCCAAGTAACGAGTAACAAAAAAATTTGTGACTATGATATCTTGCGAAGAAAACTCTATTTTACAAAGATAAACAGTTTTAAAAGATTTTTATTGAAAATTCTTTGAGTCGAGAAATCCTCGTTCCATCTTCTTTCTTCGGCCAATCAAGACGCAGCATAATCTCATCTTTGCCAACTTTGAGAAAGTCATGATACAGTCTAATTAGCAAGAACAATGCACTTTCCGACGCTGAGTGGATAACAAAAAACCTCAGCTGAAATGTGATCCACTAAGAAAAGTTTTCTTCACTATTTTAAGAAGAAAACATGGTGTTGTTTCGTGCTATATGAAAAGAACCCTCTTAAACCCTAATTGTTTATTCCAACAGAATGTTTTGTCCTTACAGTAGTGGAGAAAAGTCTTGCTGAAATCTGGCTGATTGATGAAATAAGGCGGAAACGCAAATACGTTGATGTCGACAATCTTTGATCCAACTCCACAATGCATTCCTATTTTCTGATATATAGCATTTCCTTGATACACTCACAAATTCTCCATTAATCGTTATTCGTTGACTATTATGCTTATTTAGAACTGTCTTCTATATCAAGCTAAAGTAGTTATCATCATTGTTCGTCCTTTAGTTTACAGAATAAATTAAATTTTCCTAAAATACTCATAATATAATAGGTATGAATGAAATAGAAAAAGAAAGCAAATGAAATGAACAGAAAATCCCATACGTCTTTGATTTATTTCATCTTCATCTCTGTGAAATCTGACGAGAAAACCTCTACAGACCTTCGTTTTTGAGATATCAAAATTTGACTGAGTTTTCCTTTCTCTCAGATCACGTGAAAAATTAACTTTCGACTTCAAACTTTGCACGAACAAAGTTCTTAATCAGATTAGGTGATTGTACAACTTGTATTTCTTTCCTAAAGATGTAAATTTACTTTTACATATGAAAGAATTTCGAATATTCAATATCTCACGATAGGAAATACTAGAAAAGTTATCACTTTACCCAATGAACTAATCTCATTGAGAACTTTGTTCGTGCAAAATTTAATTAAATATAATAAGTCTTACTAGTAAATTTTAATTATATATATATATAACTTTTAGAAGTATACGATTGGATACAGAATCAAAACAAATAGTCGAATCTAATCTATCTTCCATAAATAATCATTCTTCAACATTACGAAATATAATCGAAAGTGAATTTGCTCATTTATCGATGGATACCTTTTCTTATGAATTAAAACCTATGCATGATAAAATATCACCATCATCATCAATTCTTAAAAATAAAGATTCAATTATAAATGATTATGAATTAACATGTCGTCTTGTTGAAATCAATATGCCTATAGTACCGCCATTAAAAATGAAATTATCAATTCAATATCCAAATGAACCACCTGAAATTCTTTCTTTGACATCTACAACAATGAATCTTATACCAATAAAATTGGAGAATTCAGGTAAGAACATAACAATTCAAAATAAGACTATTCATTTTTTCTTTCTTTCTTATTATAGATGGTAATACGTTTTTTGAATCAATTTCGCGAAATTTTGTTCATTTTTTATTTAAATTACCAACCCAACATACAGTTACTGATATTTTAGATATATGGGTAATAATTTCTCTTATATAGTTTTTTTAATGTTAATTCATATTTTTTTATTTTAGCATACTGCCATTCGAAATGCTTCCTTTTCTCAAAATGAATCATAATAATAAACTAATTTTATACATCTATATGTTTAGTCTGTTTTCTTATTTTTGTTTTTGCTTTGTATATATATATATATAGATATTATTGAATGTTTACTTTTTTTTTTTTTTTCATTGCAATTTTATTTGTAATTTTATTTAGCCAAAATATATAAAAAAAAATATAATGTAGTAAATAAGCTTGTTTATATTTGAAAACTTTTATTTGCACGGATGAATTTTAGAAAAAAGTGTTACACCAACAATGCGTATACATTGATTTCCATCAGTTAATGTACCTTTATATGCAACACGCCAATTTTCAAAAAAGATATCTTTTTCGACAATGATATTGATATTTTTAGCACCAGCTGGAAGTGTTACTGATTTGGTTTGACCACCCCATACTCGACCAGTTTCAGCTATTGCAGGATTACCATTTGCATCGGTATAAAGAACACGAAGACGTGTATTCATTGCAGCCCGGTTTTGAAGAGTTATCTCAAATCCTAAACATTTTAAAGATGTTGATTAATAGAATAACGAAAGAAATATCTACCAGAATTTGTTTCATTTGAGTTTACCGTTGCACGTAATTCCATATATTGTTCTTCTTCATCTTCATTATCAAACACTCGACGATCTGTAATTGAGAAAAAAATAATAATCATATGAATTTGATTTATGATTAATAAATATACCTAAATCGATATCATCACTGTTTTCATTATATTCATATTGGTCTAGGTAAATATACAAAGTACAGGTTAAAGTTTTTATTACATAAAGATACACTTCGAGTTTATAATTTTTATCTGTTCTGATAATATCATATATAAATATTAGAAAGAAAAAGAATTTTTTACATAAACGATATTTGTAAAAAAAAAAGCAACGTATGTTCAATTTATATTTGAAACTGATATATACTAACATTCGATTTTACCATTATTTTCACTTATAATATCTATTTATTGTTTCTATAGTTTAAATACTTTTCTATTGCATTGTATGACAAGTTTGGCATAAAAATATTATATAGTTTTATGAATATTGTGAAACTTACTATGTTTAGCCGTAGCGAAATTTTAGCATGATTTATTTGATAATTAAAGATATAAGAGACTATGTTTTGTGAACTCTGATCGTATAAAATTTTTTCATGCTAGTTTCTCACACTATCGAAAATTATCTAAGATTCTCCTGATTTTAGTCAGTAAATGTCTTCGTTTTTCTTTGTCTTGTATTTAATTGACATGATTTGTACGAAAATTAGCTCAAAGATAATGTCTGTCAGATTGTGAATAATTACAATAATTAATTATGAAATAGCTTACCATTTCGATTTGTCAAATCGAGTTCTAGTCTATCATCATCTAGTATATCTAAATAATATTCTTATTAATTTGATAATTGAATATATGAATTTGTTACCTTGAAGTTGTCGAATGATCAACGATTGTTGTTTAAATCTACTATCAAAACTGGTTACGAAGGATACTAACAATAATAACATACAACAAGTTTTCATGTTAATTATTTTCTGCTTGTCCATCATTATCAAAACTGTATTCTGTGCCATAATACTATTTAGCTATTTACCATTTATATACGCACTATTAAATCACCTATATTTATGCGTTAGATAAACGGTTTTAGATATGTATATGTTACTTTTTATCCGAGCGTTTTTTTTTTCTTCTGCTTCCGTTAATCAAATAATGAAAAATTCGAGAGTGAAGGAAGAAAAAAACCCTCTTTCTGCGCTATTTGCCTGTATATAGAGTTCTGTTTTATCCAATAAATACAGAATAATTTGAGAGAATATGTAGGCTTCATTGTGTATGAGTAGGCGTCTATTTGTCAGAAGAAGAAGAAAAAAAACTCGACATGATTCTCGCATGCACAGACGATACCTAATGTTATTCGACCTATGAATAACTTAATACAATTTAATGATTCATATGTTTGACAATATCGTAAAAATTTGTTGTACAAGCTATTAGTCCATTGAATATGTCTTATTTGAAAATGAATACTATATAGGATTGAATTAAGAAAAAAATAAAACTTGGATTAAGTGAACCAATACAAATTTAAACAATCAAAGGTGTTCTAGGCCGATGTATTGGTCGGCGCAGGCTAAAATTTGTTCGATATATATCTAGAAAATTTTCCTAATTTTGAGAAATTTTAAAATAAAACAGATAATGTTTGAAAATCAAATATCTATTTTTGTGTCGCAGCAGCTCAGTCGACCGATTTGCATCACTACATGCAATATTATACTATCTTATAAATTTCATGCTGTTATTTTTAAACACTAATAATTATATCCTGTTGACGTATTTTCTTGTTCTTCGGTCAATTGCATATATAATAATACAAAGTATTATATCATTTTGTAACAATACCTGCAGACAAATTTTTTTAGTTATCCTCGTGCTTGAAGAATCTTTATTTTCTTTTGTAGTAAATTTTGTATCTATTTCTCTGTTATTAGCTTTATCTGTTATCTTTTGTTCTTTTGTAAATATAAATATACTTGTAAGTTTCATTTGTACTGAATATGCTGACATGAAACACTTTACAGCAATTATGCTCTTATTAGTTTTTGCAATCATGCTTGGAATTAGTCAAAGTTCCGACGACTGTTATTATGATCCATACAATATTGGTTAGTTCATTTAATTGTACAAAAAAAAACGAACTATTTCTTTACATATAAATAGGAAAAAAATGCCATAATTCAGATCACACTGAGTATATATGTTGTCTACGTACGTAATTAAGTTATTTCAAAATTTGTATCGATTTTTTTTCTTCTTTTTCTTAGCTGATGATCATTGTCAAAATGGGCAATGCTATTCACTTGCGGATATTTCATCGTCAAAATCGCTTTCACTTCAAACTTCTATTCTTATTGGTATTGGAGTTTCTGCTGTTTGTATTGTATGTTTGACTGTTGGAGCCTTATACTGGCATCGTAGGCAAATCAATAGTGCAGAAAAACGATTAAATATGTTAACATCTTTTTCTCTACCCACATATGTTCAATCTGTTAAGGGTACTTCAGCTGGTGTTCGTATACATTCATCCACATCACAACCATCATTAGTTGAGACAAGTGTTAATTTAGAACCTACTACAAGTGCTGTACCTTAAAACGAAAAATGTTTAATTTATAATAATAATAAGCACGGGTTTTGTTTTGAACATGAACAATCATTTTTTTTTTCTCAATTAGTTTTTCATATTTTAAATAAGTCTGGAAGTCAGAAAATATTTTGAAATGTATTAAAACATAAATGAATCCTTTGTTATTGTTAGTGATTCTTAGACACTGTAAAGTTTATCATTATTTTTTATCTTGTGTTGTCAGAAAATGATAATATGAAAAATATTATCATTACTCATTATGTTATACTATGATTAAAAACTAATCGGAGCATTACTGTAATACAAAATGAACAGAATGAGACAAATACAAAATCAAAGAAATTATGAGGAATATAAAGTCTAAGTAGTTGCTGATTCACATTTTAGTGAACCCGATTGGGTTCGGTCCAGAGTCGAATTTTTTTTTTATCAATATCTGACACGCTCTGCGCACATTGCTTATTTTTTCATTGTTCGATGCTTAATAAATTAAAGGTTTTCACTTAGTTACAAAAAGTACAAATGTTCACAAAAATGAATAGTGAACAGTTAATTGATAAACAAAAGTCGTCATTGAAAATTGTCATAGCAATAGTAACGCCAAAATCTTCACCTGTATGGAATAGTTTTAATTGTATTTATGTAAACCAGAACAAGCAAGAATATGTTCCACGCAATCAATGCAGAGAGCTGCAAGGTCATGTTTTTGTAGACCGCGATCTACAATTTGCTAATTAAGTGATTTTTTTTTGAGAATGTTGTATTGCGGCAAGTTCATTGATAGCTATTATATACTGTTACTTAGTGCTTTGTATAGATATAAATGAATAACTTGTAATAGTCATATTTTTTGTTAAATGTCGAGTTTATTATATGTGTTAGATTCTAAAAAAAGCTTTACTCAAAATGTATTGGATTTTCTCGTTGTTGTAGACATTACACATGAATGATGGTTTGTTTTTTTGTGAATGTGTGCGAAAAATCAGGGTGTAAGTGTCAGTCAAGGAATCACTTGCCATTCATACCCACACCCACACCCTTGTATAAACAGTAGATTGTAATATATATTGAGGCTTGATGAAAACTAAACTTTATTATTTTAAGAGATGATAGACTAGGTTTTTGCTAGAGTTTACTTCAAAATTAAGACACATGGCTACTAACTCAAAGCCATTTAAGAGAGTTTTTTAACCAATTGAATTCTTCACTTTAGTTTAATTGATCAATTCAGGTATATGAGGCAACGATTATATACTTTGATCCGATTTCTTTTGGATCTTCGCTAATGAACCTAGTTGTCATGTAAAAAGTGACTTTTGTCTCAGTGGACATCATAGATGAAAATCAGATATAGGTTATTCGAATTGGTTTAGTAGCGTTTGAACTTCATTCTTCATGCATTTCATGTGGTTTCGCACGAAATACCTTTGCATTTTTTGTTTTCTTCTCTTTCATTAGAAATCGGTTAAAAATAAGGTTTTTCTGCATTGCTTGTGTCGGCTACAGCATGAAAACTTGAAATAAACTCATATAATCGGTTTCGATTTGAGGTTTAAAGATCATTATAGGAAAAGTCTTTAATAACATTTTATTGGAAGAAATCCAATGGTACATATTTTCCTCCTATTATGACTGGTAATCAATAAAATGAGCTTATACTCGGTATGGACATCTGTATGCTTCGCTTGCTGAGCAGACGGTTGCTGGGCTCGTGTATTTTATCGAGTTCTTTACACTGTATGAGGGAATAATTGCTAAGAAAATATTGTGTAAAGCACAAATCATGATTGTCTCTCGAACTTCTTCATGAATCAGTATTGTTACCAGAGGTATAGATTCTGCTTAGATGTTGGAATGTGTGTTCGGGAAAATTTCGAAAGAATATTGTGTTCGAGAAAAGTTTTTTTGAAAATTATTGGCTTAGAATATTTGTTAAGAATTATTAAGTCTGTGGAAATTCTTCGACTTAGACTCCCATTCAGAGAAATTTTCTCTTTTTACGACAGATTCTGCACCTATGATTGTTACATGACGATGTCTATAACTGGTCGTGAGTTTATTTGTTTTTTTTTGTTCAATCAGGACAGGTTCTCAATGTTAACGACTATCTATGCCAAAGTACGATACAAAACAGTCTCTTAAACCATTTACATGTGATGTATAGGATGGCTTGTGATAATATTAACTGAACAGTGTTCAAAGTCGCCGTATTGTTACACTTGTTGTTAATAACTATTTTCAACGTTCATTGTTTAGGATGGCCGTAATATGCCATCAAGTATCATCTACAATTACTATAATTAGCTATCGTAACCAGTTGCTTATTCTGTCTGTCGTAAATTATTGGTATACGACGATGAATCATCAAGCATGATTGACCTGGTAGCATTCATGTATAATAGATGTCATGATCATTATGTTATATGTTAAAAAACTCAATTATTCAAAGTCATAGGTGATTTAAAATAGAAATGGTTTTTTTATAAATTCGATAAGAATAAACAAGGCAGAAAAAAATACTATCATGAAAATTTTGAAAGCATAAATATCGTCCTTAATTCGATTTCAAGGAAGCTTAGCCTCTTCCTTTTTTTTCTCTTTGGAAGTCATAAACTATTTAGAAATAAAATTAGATAGTTATTAAGTAGTGTTGTGCAGATAATAAAATGTGATTGGATGTCATAGAATAGTCGGTTTGATTCTTGTGCAAATTATTTTTTATCCAGTGATTCATTCTATCAATATATCCAAAAAGTTTGTCTCACATTTGATTTTTACATAACCACATAAAGTGAAAATTCTCAAGCATTATTCTATTCTGATAAGTCTACTTATATCAAAAAAAATTACAACAGTATTGAAATTCTATGAAATAATGACTTTGTTCTATGATATTTTTTTTTTGTAGAATATGTTTTACTCAAGCAAGAAAGAAAAAGTACTCTTCAGTTTTGATTCATANTGCTAATTGGTTAGTGACGATGTTCACAAGTGGCAGGAAAACATTCTGTGATGATACTCGTCTCTAACCACTGTACACCGTTTTTTTTTCATTTTTGTAAATGAATTGTGTTATTAAATTACATCATTAATATAAAAACCTTAGAGTTCAATAACAAATTACCGACATGATGTTCGATCATCATCTCTCCTTTTGTGAAAATTAAGATCAATGATAAAAATACAGTGCTACAGAATATAAAAAGAACCCTAAAGTTTAGTATAGAAATTTTCTGTTGCAACTCAAATTAAATGAAAAAATGACTATTGATGCCGAGATCATTTATTTGTCTGTGATTATCCGAAGACTTACAGTCATCACTAGACCACCATCATTTTCTCTCATGTAGACCAAAGTATCTGGAATCATTTCATTCAATTCCATCGTATCAAGGAATCTACAGATTTATAATTAAGATGATTCCGAGAAATTCAACTCAAGAAACACTTAACATTTCACCACAAACTATCACCACGGTAACTGTTTCTATTATGTTCTCATAAAATAACTGCTATTGCCATATTGTAAGTGCTACAAGCATGTGAGTTATTTCTTTTTTCATTCAAGAAGCTCAACAGATAGCGTAAACATTCTATTTACATATTAGTCAACTCGACATAGTGGACGATTGCAATTAAATCTGACAGAAGCAACCATTCATCGCTAATGCATACGTTTTTATAAATTCAAAAAAGTCATGACTTTCATTTTTTTTCCATCTTTTATCGGCTATGTAGTTTTCTTAGTAAGAAAAGTTGTCTTTTCCAGTCAAATTCATTCTTCTAATGACTTTTTTACTTACATATCAAAAGTGAACCTATAAAAAGTTTTCTTTTTCAAAGCATTTATAGTGGAATTCTATTCACTTCGTAGTTCTGAACAACTACTGTTAAAATACTTGGAGCTCAAGTTAGTAGCATGGCTATTCAATTTCACACTGATAGTAGCGAGGAAATAGATGAACATGAACAACATTCGAATATCATTGCAACTAGAGTATATATCGTTACTCTTTCGCTTTGTTTATTTGGCATGGGTCTTGTCTTATGGTTAAATTATAAGGTCGTAAGCATCACTATTCAAAATCCAACTATAGCTGGATTTAAAACATTGGCTCTTACCGCTAACTCTCCCCGCGTTCATGTATCTTCATTGTATGCCGAGTTTGTTTCATTGCATCCAACATTTCATCAAGTCTGTTCGAGTGATTTTGTTTCTGGTCGATGGATTGAAATTATTTTCACTGGAACGAAAGCAACCTATTTTGTTCCATATGATTTTCGAAATCAAGGCAGTGCGATATTTCAAGCACTCGTCAGTTTTTGTCGTCTCTCACAAGTCAATGTTCTTAACAGCATAGCCGCATTTAATGCCAGTTCATTTATTAATCTGTATGCTTTGCCCAAAGTTATTCTTTGATCAGAAATTCAAATCTCAATTGAGCGATTTCAACGGGTTGTATCCGATAAATTGTTATCTCAATTGCAATTACAACGTGGATTAACACTTAACAATCAAATAATGTCAGTCTTGCTAACCACTGTAAGACCAGAATTTTTTGTGATAACAGCATACTATCGACAGGTACATTTGAGATCTGTACATAATCGTGGGGTTATCGATTGCCACTGTGTTAAAGATATTGACTGTTTTGGAAAGCCTTTGTCTATTACTGATGGATTCGGAGCATTGAATGAAGATAACGATTTATTTGGTACAGCGAATATGCTGTGGATTATTCCTGGACTTCGAGTAGCATGTATACCAGTGGATTCTCTTTTTTCATCTTCACTTGAGTGTTTCTATAATCCCGCAAAGACGACAGATAAACTTTGCCTAGCTACTAATATATTCATTAAGAATAAAGATAGTTCAATTTTAATTGGATTGGTATTCACTATCAAAATATAAAACGTAATTTCTATTGTAAAATATGACTGGCTCTTTTTCTTGATAGACAATCTTTTTTTCCTCAGAAAAAACAAAATACTTCTACACCGCTGGTTATGTTTGAAAATCGATTTCTTGATCTCAACTGCTTTCTTGCCTAGAAATATTGAAATAAGAACTCATTGAAAGAGTTTTCTCTATTAATTGAGTGCATGGATTAGTAAAAGATATTCATTGCTTTGTCAAAAGAGAATTCACATTGATAGACTTCGTTAGACATATATAGATAAAACTTTTTAATTTTGAAAATTTTAAAGCCATAAATTCGCTTTTTCGTTAGATTACCATCTTATTGTTATAGCAGTTCCACGTCTCAGTTTCATCTATGAATGAACTGACAAAATTTTATTTTAATAGAGTTTGGTCAAAAACTTATTTGCCCAACAAAAAATTGCGAGAAAAATCATTAGCGATGTACCGAGAAACTGGAAAAAGAGTCGGGAACTTTTTCTCTGCAGAACGAGCTTTACTTTATTCTTTATGATGTAAAGTATTCTCTCATATTACTGATTGCGTTCTATCTTATTCTAATTGTATCATTACATAACTGATACATTGAACTTCATCAGAACAGTAATAACAAAATTCTTTTTCTTGAACATTTTAGTACATACAGAAATTCATTCTCTCATTCAACGTATTAAACGTAAAATAATTGAATACAACGTAATATTACACAAATATCCAAATAGTCTTTCATGCCCATGTATAAACATGTCGGTATCATATTCCAATTTTATAACTATCGATCCTTACTATCATCAGATATGTTCGAGTGATTTTGTTTCATCGTCGTGGATCGCTTTCATGGAAAAACCTGATCCTAGCATTACCTATTTATATTCAGATTATCGAGTGAATAATGTTCGTCAATTTAAATTATTGTTCAATTTACTTAGGGCTGACCAAAAGTTCTGATCACGGTGCTTAAAGATCCATATCGGATCAAGTAATCTATTCAGAAAGGAAAAACCCAAAATACCATGTTGTAGAGCTTTATGCGACGCGTCGAATGGTATATAGTAAATTGACTCTAGTTCCTTCGAAGTCTTATGAAAACAGGATTTACTATATACCATTCGACGCACCGCAAAAAGCTCTACAACATGGTATATTTGGTTTTTCCTTTCTGAATAGGTTACCTTATCCGACAAGAACCTTTAAGCACCGTCATCAGAACTTTTGGTCAACCCTAAGTATTTGCGATTGTGTTTTTAATGAAAACTAATTATTGAATACTTCACTTGTGAATAAAAATATTGTTTTCTGGAACACGGAAAAAAAATTATCTAAAATGTTAACTTATATATCTTTCTTCTTGGTAGGGATAGAGACATGAAAATTTAGGATAATATTCGTCGTGTTGTAAAGGTGAGCTTTTTTGGATTTGTTATAAGGGAGAAAAAGAAATTTTTCTGAGAGGACCCAAGACTTATGGATCACCCTTTAGGTTTTAAATTTTCCATACTAATTCGATCTAATTGCTTTTGCTGCTGAAACTTGTTTTCATTATCTCGAAAAAAGAGCAGAACTCTGTAACAAGTTTTGAACAAAGTTCGTGCGACTCTTTGATCTTTAGATCATCGTGACAAAAATAGTGATTCGAGTAGGATATCTAGGAAGTTTTATAAAATCGAGAATGACAACTATAAAGTGCTTCGCACCACTTGTACTTTCGTATAAAGATTTATATAATTCCATTTTAGAATTGGCGCTCATTCAAGTTTTTAAGATATTTTTTTTTCTTTTTCACGCCAGAGTCGTATTGTTTTTTCTCTAACAATGAAAAAACTTTCTTCAATTCAGCGGTATCAGACCGAAAAGGCAATTATTGATGCTCTTTTGAAAATATCTGATATCATCAAAAAAACGACTAATATAAATCAATTTTCAAAGAAAACAACAGGTGATGGTGATAAAAGACAAAAAAGATATGAATATGATTATGAACAGATATATGATGAACCAATACCATCTCCTATGCGTACACTCGAGTCCTATGTCTCAGGTTTCAATCAACAAAATGCAATGTCTTCATCACATCGACCGTCGAATTTTAATCGGGCACCAATGCTTCTGTGGAACTCACAATCGCATGGTAAATTATATCATTAATAGTGACCAGGTCATCATTTCGGATATTTAGATAAACAATGTTATTCAATATCAAGAAAAAGAATTAGTCATGATCATCAAGATCGAGAATTGGCTCATAAATGTCATCATTGTGATAAGTTCTCACCGTCAACATCTTTATTATCGGATAATCGTTATCGAAGAAAGTCATTAAAACATCATTCACAACGTAAACTATCTCGATCCAACAAGAAACGACGAGTCAATTGTGGATGTCACGCTTCACATGATGATAATGGGTATAGTGCAAGTGATTGTTAATTTTTTTTATTATCATCTTTCGACTAATCGAATTAAAATTTTTCGAGATATAATAAGAATATTTAATTGTTGCCAATCAATGATCGAGCAATGAATTAAAAAGGATTTTATTAGGTTTGCTCAGACATAGTCAAGATTTATCATTAAACGTTATTCAATAGCGGTCTAGGATGAAATTGACTGACAAAATGCAGGCTTCTCATTATGTGATTTGATCAAAGAAAAGTGTAAGCGGATTTCAGTATAGAAATGTTGAAAAAAATACCATATTCCAGCATAAAAAAATGAGTCGTGACAATCATTGGAAGATTGCAATAACATCAACATCATATATTGGCTGTCTCTGTCTTAAGGATATCTAGAATGACTACAAACACGACAGTAAACAGTAATACTAATAAAATGATGAGGAATTTTGATATTGGACTTTTACCAATCAGAGAGAAAGTTATTCAACAAAACCATACGAGCATATGTCTACGTCTTGTCTAGCTGGAAGGAAGCATGCTTGATCGAATTTAATTTTTTATGCAAATGTAAAATCATAACCGTTTGAACGTGTGGAATGAAAATTTTAGTGAAACTAGAACTATAGTGTATCTTACTGCAGTTTCGGTGTTTGCGCTTTTCACCTTAAGTTACTAACTTACTTCATGTCGTTCAAACGACTAGTTAACCGCGTTTTCGATCTCTTCAACACTGAAGTTAATAAGTTTATAGAGAAATAATAAAAACTTGATAAAAACAGGAGTGGATCGTTCGAACTGTCGGTTTCGATGCCAAATTAACTATATGAGATGATAATCCGAGGATCGAAAATGGGCAAGTACGTTCTCTGTGAATAGGCTGTCTACAGCTGCTCATTTTTTATGATACTTCATCAATCATATAGCGCATTGTTATTACTATTTAATCGTCATCAAAATCTATATTCATTCACTTCGAGATGAAATAAATAAAATTCTTGTTAATGTGTTTTATTCGATTGCATAAAACATCAGAACAATGGAACGCATAAAAAAAACAATTATTTAGGTATAAGAAAATCCTCCAATAGTCATTTCCATTTGTGTTTGTTGGTCAGCAAATGCAATCCAATCCGAATTATAAGTTGGTAATAAACCCATCGATTGACATTTATATAAAGCTAATGCTAAATGTGTTAAATTACCCAAAAAGTAGATAATTTTATGTAACCATATATTGTTAGCTACACCTTCATGTTGTATTGATGAAAATGCTGAGCCAAGAGAAAATATGGACTAAAGAAGAGAAATTCATTAAAAATAAATTAAAGGAAACTATTCACTTGTATTGGTTTCATAAATAACATAACAACAATCATAATTGACATAAGTGAAAATGAATTGCCAGCCATCCATGCAAAAATCATATTCATTGGTAATTGTTTTATTGGTTGTAATGCTATATCCCATGAACGTTTAGCTAATAAATGATCACCATCCTCGTGCGTCACTATATCTGCTACTCTTTGTTCGCTATAACCAACAGGTGTTAACATAAGAGTATTAGTAGCGGTTGTTGTTGTTGGTGAGACACTATCACTACTTGCTACTGTCGTAGTAGCAACTGCTAAACGTTCATGTTTACGCATTTGTAAATCGATAAACCATTTTCGACGTGAAGGAATCGACCGTGTCGATGTCGTAGTACTACTTGGATATTGATTAGACATCTGAAAAAGAAAACAAACAAAAGAAGAAAAGACAACCTATCTAAACACGTCTCATTTTCTTTGGTCGTTGTAATCCAACGTGTAATGTTGGAATACTAGTATTATCAGTTATGGTAACAATATCAATTCCAGCTAATTGTAAACCTTTTATTGCCATTAAACGTCCTGGACCAGTACCTTTAACAACAACTCGTACATGTTTCATATTACGTCGTAATAAATTATTTCCCATGTGTATTCCGACAGCTTGTGCTGCTGTTGTTGTACCTTTTTTTGCATTATGAAAACCCACAACACCACATGATGTACGAAATATTTGTTGACCTGTACAATCACTAACATCTACTAATGTATTATTACGTGTACATTTCATATGTACAATTGGTAAATCTTCATATTTAACTTGTAGAACTTCAGGATTATTTGCATCACCAATTAATTTTTCAAAATCTGTTTCACGAACTTGACCAGAACCACCATAATATTTATCAACATCAATACTTAATGGTGTTTGAATATTTTCTGGACGTAAATTTATTTCACGTACTGCTCCTTCACGTATATCAGCATGTGAACGCTTGTAATTAATAGGTGTTAATGATAAAAATCGCAGAGATTGTTGAAATGTTGATATTGATATGGGAACATAGTGCGAAAATAGACGATTTAGCATCTGAAATAAACATAAAAGTAACGATATTGTGAAAGAAAAAGTAATGCATGCTGATTTTTATTCAAATTATTGGAAAATTAGCAAAGTAAAATTAAAGTAGTTTTCGATAGAAGAACTACTTGATTATTCGATTTCTGTCAGTTTTTTCTGATTTTCTAATAAATTCATTTTGTGTTCTAACACATTAGTCTAAATCTATTATACATGGAGCTGGAATTCGGCGGTTCTCAAAAACTCGTACTATTAAATCATCAGATAAATACAAAAATTCTTAAACCTATGTCGAGAAACCTTCATTTTCTCATTCTTAAGATTAAAGATATCAGTTAATATGCATAATATTGTATTATTTAAGTATTAAAATATGTGATGCTTTTAATCTCAACCATTAAATAATGAAAATTTTTATATCTATCTGATGATTTAATGGTTTCGGTTCCTCCTGATATTTTGGCAATCGAAGTGATCTATGTCATTCTATTTAGATAAATAGGCTAGTGTTTATTTGACAAAAAAAAGAATTCTTTTAAAATAGTCAGAAAGATGCCAATTTACGAAGGGTTGATTTTTACGTCAATCATATATACGAAGAAACTATAGAAAACTTTACAAAACAATTCAAATTAATGATGATAATACAAGAAATCGTTCTTTTTCTTCATCAAAAAACATGTATCACTCAATAGAAACTTCTTTCAGATTACTTTTCAGGATATCGGGTCGGCTCGCACATACTAAATCGATAGTATAAAAGAATCGCTTCAATCATTCTGCGTAGGAGAGTGTCATCTTTGATTGTTATTATTCGTATATATATATATACAAAATTCTACTATAAAGAAAAAGAAAATATTTCTTACAGGATCTATTATCTGAATATTAGTCTAAGAAATAAAACAAAACATGAAATCTATGACGATGAAACTTTGCCTTCTTTATTCATTTCATCATTTGATAATAGTTCATTCTTTTTAGTCAATCCTATTTGAAAATAATGTAATTTTTCTTGATATGTATCTGGTGGATAATGAATTTTTGGTGGTGCATATCTAACATCACGTTCATGTTCATCATAATTAATTCCATCAATTGAATCTCTTGTCATTTGAGTTTGATTACCTTCTCTTTGTTCAAATTCAATATTTGAATCAATTAAACCACGAAAAAAATATTGTAATCGAGGAGATTTTTCATATCTTTGATCATGTGGATGACCAAAATATATTTTTGTTATTCCACATTCTTCTGCACGTTGTGCTAATATTAATGCAAGATTATAAGCAACAGAACGATCTTTACACGTAGCTAAATGTTTTCGAATAGCCCATTCACGTGTTGATACTTGTACACAAATATTTCCTGTATAATAATGATTGATTTGTGCTATTAAATGTCTACCAGATGAAAGAAGTCGTGCACGATGTAAATAATCTTTTGATGGATATTGTAATGGCCAACCAGTTGAACGCCATTGTAAATTTTGCCATTCAAGTGTACGTGGATTACGATTAAGAAGACGTGATGAAATAGTATAAGAACTATTTTCTGTTGAAGTTGAAAGAAAACGACGAATAATATTCATCTAGAAACATATTTATACATATATATATCTGATTTCTGAGACAGATAGATGAATTTTTTCTGTTTCTTTTTTCTTTGTCTTAAAACAAAATTTATCGATATACAAAACAAAAAAACTTAAATGTGAAATAAAATAAACCAATAGATGAAGAAAAGCGTTAATGATATTTATGAAATATTTCACTGTGATTGATCCTTATTGATATGTGAATTAGAATCTTTTAAAGGATTTTTTAATAATCGATTACCAACACGAATAAATGGATTATTGAATGGATTAAATTGTGGATCATTAATACGATCTAAGTGTTCATTTTCATCACCACGTGTTAAATGATATAAAACTGTTAGAATTGTGATAAAAACAAATAAAATTATTAATATCATATAGCATGTAAAGCGAGTACGAGATATTTGTGTTCGATTATTTATTGAAGCACCTTTTCGATTAGTTGCTTGTCGAGAATGTAACCATCGAGCAAACCATGTAAAAACACTACGACGTTTATATTTATCTTCTTCGTCAGAATCCATTTGTGATGGCTAAAATATAAATATCATAGAGATTTTAACGAAATCAAATAAGGAGCTTAAATTCACATGGAAGATCTAGGCGAAAATTAACATACTTCTGATATTAAAACTCTAATAACTATAGATTCAATCAGTCAACCACACATATTTTTTCGTCTTTCGTATTGTATCTAAATTGATATCCTAAAAGCATCGAAATCGGACGCCTTTGTGATAGTCAAGATAAATAGAATTATCGAACAGCAACACCAACATACATGTGTGGGTACTTCAACTTCTTGAAGATTATCGTTTATCAACATAAACTTTCACGAGTGAAATATGGACTGATCAATTTCAAGGAGTCAGATCAATTTCTATTTTTAGTTACATAGCTAATACTGTTCCACGTCAGTGTAACACCCATGTCACTTAATGCAATTGATAATGCATACGGCCTTTCGTCGATCAATCTTCTCTTTCAACAAAAAAAAACATCCTACACTTTATCATTGTAAATCGACGATAGCCATATCATAAATCCTCTTACATCGGAAAATCTGTATGGCCCCGTATATTCAATAGTGAATTTAGAACAAATAAATGATACAAAACATTTATCTAGTTTTTTATAAAAAAAATAGTAACAAGATCAATCAATGCAACATCTTTTGATCATTATTAAGATTCTTTTAATTTTCTTCATAGTTCACTCTCCTTCGAATCAAAAGATGTCTGAAGGAATCATTATGTTTATTATCAAAGAAAAATATTGACATAATTACAAATATTTGTTCATCTATTCATCAGAAAAAAATTTTCAAATGAAATAATTCGATTTCATATGTCTTTATTTCAATTCATATCTCATGAAGAAGATAATTAATGGTTGTTTCTATGAAAACTTAAAAAGTATAATGATCATGAAATAGAATCATTGCTAGTCTCATAAAATTTGCGTTAATTTAGTTTCCTATGACAATCTGACACAAAAAATCTTACTCACATCCTAAATATCTTTACAATGTTCACTTTATTTAGAATGCTTTTTATCCTAAAAGAAAAAGATACTATAGAGCATATGTTTGATTACTCAATTAAGATATAAAAATTGGACAAGGACAAGCAACTGATCCTTAAAATAGACAATTAAATTCCAATAAACATACTCTTGTTGTTAATATTGTTGTTCCTTGTGTCATTTCAATAGATCGATGTGGATGATGTGATAATCCACTAGTACCTCCTACATGTCCTCCACTAGTTCCACTAATTTTTGGATTCACAATAACATAACCATTATTGTCAGTTTCAGTTAATAATGGTTGTTTATCTTGATTTAAATTTGAATCATTTATTGATAATATTGGTAATCTATTTGCCCAATTGACTGTTGATAATTTAGTTCGTACGTGATCAGCAACGGGTGAAACAAGATTTGATGGTGGAAAAACACACGTATGACATGTTGGACATGTATATCCATCAGGTGCTGTATGATTTGGAAATGAACGAAAATATTCATTAAGACATGACCAATGAAATAAATCATAACAAATAAGACGTATAGTTTCATCACCAGTTTCAGTTAATGAACGTTGACATAAGGTACAATTTGGATTATAATCATTATCTTGTAACCACGATACATATGAACGTACAATACATTGAGCATGTTCATTAACAAGACATGATTCACAAACATTAACATGATGTTTAAAACAAAATAAAGTGGACACTTTGCGTTGTGGACATTTGCA